TCACGAAGCTCATTTTCAAAGAGACATCTAATCTGATCAAACTACAAAACTTTAAAAGATTACCAAAAGGTGGCAAGAAATCACAGTCAATAGATCAACAGAGGGATACCACTGAGCTTTAAACACAAATGAGATTCTGATACAGCCCACAACCTGGTAAAAGTTGAACAACTTTATACTAAGTGAAACAAGCCAGACCCTAAAGGACCCATCTTGTGTGACTGCATCAGTGTGGAGTATCTGATTCACACGGGCAGAAAGTGGAGCAGAAATGTCCAAGGAGTGAGTGGGGGATGGGATTTATTGTTCATTGCCATTTGAGATGACAAAAAAGTTCTGTGAATGTACTCAATGACGGTTAACTGTAAACTTATTATTAAGGTGTTAAATTTGTTGTGTGTATTTTACCAAAATTCTGTAACAATGACATGTTGGAGGCTGATATTATGGTGATACAGCATGATAAATTTCTGCTTACAATAAATACATCACAGTGCCAGTTCAAGTCCCAGCTGCTTCACTTCCAATGCAGCTCCCTGCTAATGTGCCTGGGAAGCAAATGGAAGATGGCCCAAGTGTCTGGGACCCTGTACCCATACAGGAGACCAGGATAGGGCATCTGGCTCCTGGCTTCAACCTGGCCCAGCCCTGGCTATGGTGGTCATCTGGGGAGTAACCAAATGCAAAACAAAAAGAGGTATGTGGAACTGATGCTAAACAAGCTCCGGCCACAGGACAGACAAGGAACGGATCATCATACAAAAGGAAGGCACTGCTTCTTGCAGCAGCACAGACCTTGCTCAGGGAAACCAGCAAGGCCCACACAGGCCCCCAGACCCTGATTTGTGCCATGGGAGGAGTGGGAATGGTGACTGAAATGGGTGCTCTGGGTGGCCTGCAAAACAGGTTTCTGCCTGTTTTCAAAGCAAGGAACAAACACTTTAAAGAACCATCCCTCTGGATACATGCAATGTGTCCCAACGATCTCTTGGGATTTGCAACAGTATGGTTCTTTCATTTTGGAACCTACAGAGCAGCATTTCTTTTTTTAAAAAAAATGATTTATTCATTTTTATTTGAAAGGCAGATTTATAGAGAGAAGAACAAAGAGAGGAAAAGAGATCTTCCGTCTGCTGGTTCACCTCCCCCTCAAATGGCCTCAATAGCCAGAGCTGAGCTGATCCAAAGGCAGGAGCATCTTCCAGGTCTTCCATGTGGGAGCAGGGTCTCAAAGCCTTGGGCCATCCTCCAATGCTTTCCCAGGTCATAAGTAAGGAGCTGGAGAAAGCAGAATAGCTAGGACATGAACTAGTGCCTGTATGAGTTGCCAGCACTAGCAGATCGAATATTAGCTCACGGAGCCACAGAGCAGCATTTCTGATGATTAACCATCAGGATCTATTCAGACTGAAGAGCAGTGTCAGGAACCCAAATACTTACCTTGGAAAACACGTTCCAACGCCACCCTTGGACATGGAGAGGTGGCTCCCAGTGCCAGCCAAGGATGTTCAACCATCCAGCTCTCAGCTGTCTTCTAAAAATAGTCTTTAGAAAAGCCTTGCTCCATAGTTTCTGGGTCTGTGTTGGGTCTGAAAAGCTGGAAATGTCTGCCCAAGTCCCCAACAGCTTGTAATTCTGATTTAGGAATTTCTAATTTAGAAAAGATAAAGAGTTGGAGTGAGGGAGAGAGCACAACACGGGAGCTGACAGGTCCGATGGGCAGGCAGCCAGAGCCCTCTCCCACGACTGACGTCACACCTGAGCTCTCCTCTTGTAGAAGGAAAGCGATTGCTGGAATTAGCTTTGTCATTTGATTTGTACCTTTGTTGAAGGTATGCATATTCGTGGCATAAAAGGTCAGACAGTTCTCGAAAGATTTTAAAGCAGCAGTTTTATGTGCCTCACCTGCCTGTCCTAATCCCATCTTTCCAGAAGCCAATACTTTCACTTTTTTTTACATCATCTGTTCATTTTTCCCTGTCTCCAGTAACTCTTACTATTATTAATTTCTCCATTCTGGATGGTTTGCTATTGGCTCCCAACGACACACAACAGGAAGAAATGAGTGTGTAAATGAATACACGTTGCCTCTGACTCTCACTTTCCTGTGATAGTTAAGCCACCGACTTCGGCAAGATGGTCAAACAGCATGCACTTTGCCTGGCTGTCTTATGGCTGTGCACACTAACACTCCTTTTGCACAAGTTCTGCTTTCCCTGGAACTGCTGACTTGACTTCCTTATGAACTCACGTTTCTGTGTATTTGTACCATACCTTGTTCCCAAATGTTTTTCCAGATGTTTAATTTCTGCTTTAGCTCATCGGAGGACAGCCAGTGGTGTGTGTGTTTGGGAAATCCTTCCTGCCTCACCCTGACCCAGGTAGTCTCTGAGAGCTGAATCTTTACTGAAGATCTGTAATTCCCATCCCGTTTGGGGATTCCTTTTGCCTCTCTCCTGGATTTCATGTCATTCTTTTTTATGGGTAATTTCCCTATTTGGGTGCAGAAGGGAAAGTGGGCAATAAACTTTCTGAGAGTTTCCGGGTCTGTCATTATGTATCTTACCCTTGGGGAAGGCAATTGGCAGTAGAATATATATATTTCTTGCAGAGTTTGGAAGGCATTCCTCATCTTCTCCCCTGCTGTTGCTGGTGGTGTTTGTATTCTCAGTCCCTCCTGCGTTATCTGTTATGTTTGCCCTCTCACAAGCAAGTTGAATCCTCCTCTGGGTGCTCAATGCTTTGAGATTTTGAGATGCTGCGCCTTGATGCATACTCTGATTTTTTGTTTTCTCAAAAAACGTATGACTGTATTTGACTCAATAGTTAAGCCTTCAGGTTTTGAGGTGCTTTATTGAACTAATTTTTCATAATTTCCCTCAGTCTGTTTCTTCCTCTGTATCTTTCTAGATCTCTTTTTAGTCGCATCCACTAGTCTAATTCTCTAATCTTGTACCCATGTCTGCTTTTTGTTCCACTTTTTACATGTCATCCATAACTCTTCACAGCCCCTATTAATGTTCTGCTTTTTTGCTGTTCTGGTTTTTTTGTTTTCAAAATATTTTGGGGGCCTGTTCTTTTTGTAACTTTGCATTAATTTCTCAGTTCTGAACTCTCAGAGAATATCAGTAATATTTTTTTCTAACTTTTCTTCTGCTCCCTGCCCTGTGTCTTGTTCTGTTTCCTTTCCCGCCTGGTTAGCTGCTTTGGGTTTTAGTATGAGATGCACCACTCACAGTCCTGGTACCCCTTGGGCTGGCTGTTGATCGTGACATCACTACACCTTTGGGGATGTACTGTCTTCATGAGGAGCAGAATGGACAATGGATACCTGCCTCTCCATATGTCAACCTCCCCTTTCTTGATATTTAACCAACTATTTTTTATCATTTCTTTATTCTTCTTTATTGTGTTTATGTATGGAGTGCATGTAATGAGCAGGTCAGGGTAACTGGGAAATCTATCCTCTCAGACACTCCTCTCCTCCCTGCCTAAATGTCAGAAGGCCGCTCTGTCCCTCTCGGTCAGCACTCAGAAAACCGCCATCTGCAGCGTAGAGCCAGTTTTTACTACACAGCTGGCATCAGCATGCAAGGCCCAGCTGGATCCTGAACAGATTGCCATCCTGCTGGCACCGAATGCCACAAGGCTTTCCTCACCACAAGCAGGTCTGGGCTCCATGATGCCACTTGCCTTACTCCTGGGCGCTGCCCACTTTGAGCTGGTCTTCAACTCCATCCGTTCCCACTCAGCAGCCTGCACTCCGGTTTCTAAAAGCCGTGTCTGTGCTCCATTAGCTCTGCCTCCTTTTTAAAGGAAATCCTCTGTCCATCATTTCAAAAGTGCTTCACAGAGGCTGGGGGCAAGTACATGAGCTCCATCTTCCACGTGTAGTCAAAAGTCTGTTTTTCTTGCCAGAGTACATGTTTATAAATTTATTACTAAATTTTTGTAATGTGTTGAAAGTGATCTGTGGTTCATGGGTGCACCTGAATTCCTGGGGCTCCCTAAGCCAGCAATATAGCACGTTAGCTGATGACTCATTAGAAATACAAATTCTTTTTTTAAAAAAAAAAAGATTTATTTATTTGTTTTTATTACAAAGTCAGATATACAGAGAGGAAGAGAGATAGAGAAGAAGATTTTCCATCTGCTGTGCCAATCCGGAGCCAGGAGCCAGGAACTTCCTCCAGGTCCCCCATGCAGGTGCAGGGTCCCAAAGCATTGGGCCATCCTCCACTGCTTTCCCAGGCCACAAGCAGGGAGCTGGATGGGAAGTGGAGCTGTCGGGATTAGAACCGGCGCCCATATGGGATCCCAGCACGCTCAAGGCAAGGACTTTAGCCACTAGACCACACTGCCGGGCCCAGAAGTACAAATTCTTTTAAAAAATATTTCAGATCTTTTGCCCAATCTTCACTGGAGACTTTGGAATTAGTGGTGGTTGTTGTTTCAGTTCTTTGTAGGTTTCTATCGATCCTTTGTCAGATAACTAATTTGCAAATATTTTTCTCCCATTCTCTTGGTTATCTCTTTGTTTTGTTACTTATTTCCTTTGTTGTACAAAAGCTTCTTTTAGAAAAAAAGACTTTTGGTGATGCTTGTTATGAAAAAAAAAATTTTTTTTAAGTCAGATTAGAGGCATTTGAAAGGAAAAGATACAATGAGGCCTTATCAGGCACCTCGTCTCCTTGTCAGGCTGGGAGAGGTGCCTCCCGCTCCCCTCTGGCTGGGGGTTCTCCACCAGGTCCCTGTTCCTCAGAGGTTGCCTGGGTTTCTGCCACACACAGCCCTTTCCTCCCCATCTCATCTTGCACCCCCTTGACCTTCCCTGCCTGCACCTTGTCTCCTTGCCTTGTTGTTTTTCTCCACCACCTTGAAGATATTCTTGGCCCGGTTTTCATCAGGAACAAGCCCAGTGACTTCGCTCCCTCCTGAAGCCAGAAGGACTCTCTGAGTTCTGCCCATCACTGACTCTCCTCCTCTGTCTTCCTGCCCAGGACTGTCTTTACTGTCATTTACACATTTGAAGCATTGCTCAAGATTGTGGCCAGGGGATTTTGTCTGAACGAGTTCACATACCTGCGAGACCCTTGGAACTGGCTCGACTTTAGTGTCATTACCCTGGCGTGAGTATTTCCTGGTGCTGAAGACATGAGTGCGGTTAGGGGCGGGGAAGTGGTCACATGATATTTGCAGGTGGTCCAGGCTTGTATGCTGGAGCCATTTCCTCATCTCAGCTGTGCTTCCTTCTGCACTCTCTTAGGGCCGGGGACTTTCTTGTCCCAGAGTGCTACTTTGGGGGCTACTTCTCAGGGTCAGCTCTACAGGGCCAGAAAATTAGATGTCAAATCCGAGTTGTCTGCATGGACCATACAGGACCTGAAGTTGTACCCACTGGCAAGGCCTTCTTGTGGGCATTCAGCAAGGAGATGGACTGGCCAAGCCTGCATGTGTGCAGAACCATCTGTCTACATATCACTCAAGGTCTCCTTGAGTACCACATCTTTTCTGGTGGTCCATTGACCAACCCAGAAGTGTCAGCCCAAGAATAGTGGTGTTTCTGGATTCCCAGCTTCATTCCTAGGCTCATGTGACCCCGGGTTGTCCTCAAGTAGGCTGCCTGCATTCCCAGGACCCTCTCCTTGCACAAATGCTGACTGCCTTCTGGTCCCACAGATATGTGGCCATAGCCAAGGATCTCCGTGGTATCTCTGGCCTGCGGACATTCAGAGTCCTCAGGGCACTGAAAACAGTCTCTGTGATCCCAGGTGAGCACATGGAATCATAGGGTGCGCGTTGGCTTTCACAAGATCCCTAAGGGGTTCTAGGAGAAGGATTGCTGTCACCAGTGAAGAGGCCAGGCATTAGCTGGACACCTCACATCCCGATTTACCTAGGCCAGCACTCTGCCCACACTCCATGTGGCCCCAGCAGTGAGAAATGACAAGTCCGTGTCCTCACCTTATCCTCTCTCTGCGGGGTTTGGTTTTCATCCATGCACCACACTTGCAAGTGAGAGGGAGCAGAGAAAGGAAGCAGTTTGGGGTGCTGGTATCTCCTCTATTTCTGTAGATCTAAGAGCTTGAGCCCCAACCTTATCTTTGAACCTGCAGATGATAAAAGAATCAGAGAGTTCCTAGTTCCAGAGAACTCATACATAAAGGTAATCCCTTAAGATCCATGGTCAGGGCCTCCTTTACCTGCTCTTGTCCACACTGGCTGAGCCACTGCTTCTCATCTCCCACCAGATAGGTGGTGGGGATGACGAGGCTAGAGTACAGATGCAGGACCCTGAGCTCTCCCCATGACATGCTGCAACACCTTCCTTGCCCCCTCCCCTGTAAAACAGAAATACTGGTCCTGGAATGGGTGTCTCTTCTCGCCTTCCACATGGGCTCTGCAGGCAACCATTCAAAAGCCTTTGCCAGACTTCTCTGCACAAACCTGCAAGGAAGGTTACAGCCCTCAACAGGGAAGATCCTGTTTCTTGGTTGGACTCCCTAGCCTAACCAGACTCCATCTCTGCAACTACCCACCTTGCTTCCTGTTCCAGAACCCACCTGTGGCTCCGCAGATGCTCCAGGCCTTCCACACCTGCTCACCTCTTCACTTGGGCCATGCTGCTGCTTGCCAGAGCCTGTCTTCCTCTCATCATGCAACTCACACTCATCCCACAGGGCTCTCCCACAGACTCGCCTCCCCAAGGAGACTCCCGGATCTTTCCAGACTTCCCCAGCCCCACCACATTTTCACCCTGAGTGTCAAGTGGGGACTGCTGCTTTGATGGTCCCCTGGGGCTTTTCTTCCAGTGTCAGACACACCCACTGCATGTTGGCACATGTGGCTCCCAGTGAAGTATTTGCCCAGCAACATGACAAGCCCAGGAGAGACCCGAGATGGCTTGCTTGGACAAAGCTCTCCCTGCTGCCTGTGATTCTCTCTCCAACCAGGCAGGGTCCCCTTTGTGGCCAGCTGTGCCCAGCTGTAAGGAACTCTTGTTCAGACTCCCTGTGTTTCTATCCCAGGAAATTCTCCCAGTATGGCCAGAGAAAGAGAGAGAGAGAGAGAGAGAGAGAGAGAGAGAGAGAGAGAGAGAAACAGAAACACACACACACACACAAGTGGGGCTCCTGACTGCCTGCCCGCCTCTCAAGGCAGGTGCAAGCTTCAGGGGGAGATGCTGGGCTGGACACTTCCCTGGGCTTTGTGCGGATGGGAGAGTTGAAGCTGTGTATGGCCCTCATCCATGTGGGAGTGTCACCAATGTCCACCCACAGGACTAAAGGTCATCGTGGGAGCCCTGATCCACTCGGTGAGGAAGCTAGCTGATGTGACCATCCTCACCATCTTCTGCCTGAGTGTCTTTGCTCTGGTGGGCCTGCAGCTTTTCAAGGGCAACCTCAAGAACAAATGCATCAAGAATGTCTCTGCTCTCTATGAAGATGCCAACTACTCGCTTGATGCAGCAGGTGAGTTGGGTATCTGCCGCAGGGAACAAGAATGCAGTCAGGACCCAGGGACCCTACAGACCCTGGGATGGGGAAGAGGGGAGTGGAGTTGAGGGCTCTGCACACCTGCACAGGCCAACACAAGTGTTTTGAGTCCTCTCGCCTGCTGATTGGCTTCTTTCAAATTATGTCTTACATGTGTCCCCCAGTATCCCTACAGCAAGGAAGTGAACTGTAAACAGTGAATGCACTGTTCAGGCCTGTTCCATCTGTCTGCTCAGCTCCTCCTCCAAGGTGTGACTGAGTTCCCAGACACCAGCCACCCCAATGTCTTCTTGGAGGGCTCCAGGCCATCGGGAGGGGGAGTGGGGTAGCAGGGGGCGTTCAGCACTTTCTTTCTTTGGCAGAGAACCAAATCAAGAAGTCAGGCACGAATGAGCCTTTACTGTGCGGAAATGGATCTGATGCAGGGTGAGTACTGAGATGACCGCACCCAGACATAGCAGGTGTTTTTACCCAGGGTTGGAGCGGGGGCGGGGAGGGAGGTGGAGAGCAGAAACTGGCTCTCAAGGCTCCAGGAAAATGTGGCAATGAATAAACCATGACCCATGTCCTCACACAATACCAAGATTTCATGACTTCATATGCAGCTCATGACTTTGTTCCTTCCTGGGATGGAATTAGCTGGGCATGGACTGCTCATCCACAGCCAGACAATGGACTGATGAGCTGAGAGAATTGGCTCTCATGGCAAAGGCAGGGTTCCAAGGGGAAAGAATAGAAGTATGCATGAGCTTTTGAGGGGTAGGTTTAGCACTGGCACAGTGGCATACTTTCTGCTTCTGTTGACCAAAGCAAGTCATAGGCCAGTCCAAAAGATGGGAAAACAGGCTTCATTTCACCAAGGAAGGAGCTGCAAAATCAGATGGCCAAGAGTTATGCATGTGGGGAGAAGCAGTATTGCAGGCATTTTTGCAAAAGGTCTACTCCAGGGAGAAGCTACCATATAGTCATGTCAACATTTCTACCTTGAATCATCACAGTTCACTCTATTGTATGAGTTTCATTAGTGCTGTGTAGCAGAGGAAGAAGCACATGCATCAGACTGTGCAATTTCAGATTCTTACAGAGGTCAGAGACGTAGCCAACGAGTGGGAGGCCAGATGGGAACCATAGCAACCAAGAGTCCATGCCCTCCTCTAAAGGGGCAGCCACTGCTCTGCTAGGCTCTGGGTTGCCGTGGAAATCTGGGTCCACTACTTCCAGCTCTCCTGACATTTGAAAGAAAAACAGGAAACCTAAATTTTTATGTGAACTCTCTCAACTCTAAATTTCACTACATATTTGATGAAGTTGTCCATTTTGGAGGCCAAACAAAATATTTCCATGGGGCCAAATTCAGCCTATATGTTTCCAGTTTGAGACCTCTCACACATGCATTTAAAACACCATGCAGTGTGGAATAAGCATTGTACTAGAGGTTCCAGGGGCTGGCAAAAGGACATGGTAGATGACAAGATGAGGGAAGACTTTCTAGAGGCGGTAGCTAAGGTGAACATTCCAGAACTCCTTAGCTTTGCCTACCGTGCTGTCCACTGGGAGTGAGATGGGCAGAAAGTGTTCAGGCAGCACACCAGAAAGGCCCATCTTTCCCACCCACCTCCACCTGACTTCTCTACGGAAAAAGGTTTACAGTTTCTTTGTACATAAAGGATTGTTGAGATGATTCTATTATAATCTTTGTATAGCACCTACGGTAAGGAGAGGCACGCAGGAAATACTCAGTGAATGGGACCTGTCATTCCCCATTGTTAGATATAATGATCAGTGAACAGGGCTAATGTGAGGGCTCCTTTGATAGGCAGCTCTGCAGATAATCCAACAAGCTCAGTATTTTTGCTACCAAGTTAATCTTCCCTGGTGCAAACTTGTAAAGCATCTGACATGTGATGGGGTTATGTCTGAGCCACCTGCTGACCTTCCCCAGCTATTCCCTGATCATAAAACTCCCCAGTGCCTATAAAACTGTATCACATAATACAATGTTAACAACAATAAAAAAACTCTGAAGTACAAATATTGGCATCTTCAATTCATGGATGAGGGAGACTGAGTTAGACCATATGTCTTAGCTCTTCAGCTAAAAAAGACAAACTCTCATCTCTGACTTCAAATCCTGATGTCAACCTACAACTCCAACCTGCCCGGCCCCCAGCAAGCAAGGAGCCACACCATTCTGACCTTCTCTGTTTTTGCTGCAGCCACTGCCCTGTTGGTTCTATCTGCCTTAAAACTTCTCAGAACCCAGATTTTGACTACACCAGCTTCGATTCCTTTGCCTGGGCTTTCCTCTCTCTGTTCCGCCTCATGACACAGGACTCCTGGGAACGCCTCTACCAGCAGGTATTGATCTGCATTTCCCAATGTGGGCTTGGTTGGATTATGGGGGGGGTCAGCTACATGGAGGGACTCGCGTTAAACCCAGGGTGCTAAGGTACAGGTCTCTTCTTTTCCTTGAATCTGCAGACCCTGAGAGCTTCTGGGAAATTTTATATGATCTTTTTCGTGCTTGTAATCTTCCTGGGCTCTTTCTACCTGGTCAACTTGATCTTGGCTGTGGTCACCATGGCATATGAGGAGCAAAACCAGGCAACCATGGCTGAAATTGAAGCAAAGGAGAAGAAGTTCCAGGAGGCCCTCGAGGTTCTCCGAAAAGAACAGGAGGTTGGTGAAGCACAGGAGACTGGATTCAATTATAGGCAGCATTGTTGGATAAAAGTCTGGACCAGCACTTAGATTAAGGTTATTACTCTAGGACACTATAGGGGAGACTCATCTCACACAAGGAGACTTCTAAGATCAGGTTTTCTCAAAGAAGAACCCACATAAAGGTACTTGTACAAGTGTCTTGAAGGAGTGCTCTCGAGAGAAGGGACATGAAGGAAGCAGGGGTGGAGGTTTCTTTTGGTTTTTGTTTACCATAACAAGGTACCCAAAACAGGCTACTTATGAAGAAAAGAGGCCTGTTTAAATCACAGTTCTGGGAATCTAAGAGCATAATTTCTGCATTGCTTCAGCTCTGTAGAGGTTTCTTAGCTAACTCACATCATGGTGAAGGGCAGTTGTGGGACCACAAGCAGGAGTTAGTAATCCCATTTTGAAACAGGTAGTCGGGAGGTTGGATGGAAACTGACTCAGGTTTTTATAGCAATCCTCCCTTTAGAACTACCAAGAGGTCCACAAGAATTATCTTAGTCCCATTTGAGTACATTCCTCCAGTAATCAAAATATGCTCCATCATTTAAAGGTTCCATGAAGTCACTTGTTGCCACACTAAGGAATTGGGGCCCAATACATAAAACCTTGAGGGATGAACCACAACCAAACTATAGCAGGGTGAAACTAAGCACAGTGATCTCAGCTGGAAGCTAGCTTTAGCTTGGCCCCATGGCAAGCTCTGCAGTAGGAAATGCATCACAGAGGTGGCCCTTCCTGGAGGCAAGAAGGATGACCACTGACATGCCTGTACTCATCTTAGGGGCAGGCAGCCTCTTGCAACATGCTGAAAGTCTGAGTCAATCCATTGCTGTCACTGGGATCTTGTTTGTGAGAAACCACCCGCTGATTCTGAGCTCTGGATGAGGAGGCAAGCCAGAGATGGCCATTTTGCCATGTCCTAATCCCACTACCACCCAGGTCCCTCACCTTTGACCTGCTCTACTTCAGACCCATCATGTTTGGAGGACACATTTATGCTAGTGCTCACTAAAAACAGACCAGCAGCTGCAGCTGCTGTTTTCTCTCTGCAGGTTCTGACAGCACTGGGGGTTGACACCGCCTCCCTCCACTCCCACAGTGGGTCACCTTTAGCCTCCAAAAATGCCAATGAGAGAAGGCACAGAACGAAGCCAAGAGTATCAGAGGGCTCCACAGATGACAACAAGCTACCCCAATCTGATCATTACAATCAGCGCAGGATGGTAAGCAGCTCCTGTTTGGCTTGAAAGATTGCCTGCCTCTCCGGATGCCCTGCCCAATGGGAGAAGCTGGAGGCATGAGACTAGGGGGATGTTTTAGAAGTATACACACCCCCTACCAAATGATGGCATAAACAAAAAAGAAGGGGGGACATGGCGGTTAAAGAAAATGGATAAACTGAAAGAATTTTCAGGGAGCAATGGGGTGAAGAATAAGATTGGGATCTTGGGAAGTGGGAAAAGGGAGAGAGAGATCCAAGACCACTCCCTAGTTGCAGGACTGGGCAGCACTGAATGACAGTTCTAGGGATGAAAGGGATGCCCTGTCTGTGGTGCTGAAATCAAACCCTCGCTGCTTTCTGGCCCCACAGCTCTAGGTGTCATGTTTTGTGGACACTCGTCTTTGCGACACACTCCAGCCTGAATATAGCTACAGGATCTCACCCAAGGCCCTGCAGCAACTCTCACCCCCTTGTAACTTGCTACCTGCCATTCCAGTGTTCACATTCAAAATCCCGCTCCAAATTTCTTCCCTCTGCCTGTGTGGCTTAATACACCCTTCTCATGGACCTGAATTATAACCCCCTCTTTGTGGGAGTGTATTTTCAATACAAATAATACACAAAGGTGGGAGGGGTCAATGTGGCTTTTCAAGGTTCTAGTCCTTTCTTTCCCACATCCACGTCTCTTTTCCTATGTTCACCTGAAGGATTTTTTGCGGGGGGGGGGGCAGCTTGGTTGCAAGGGAAGAAGAGCCTCACACCTTTAACCCTAGATTTATGTGTATTTCATACAGAGAAATACTCACGTAACTCTGGACTTGATTGCACACCCACACCAAAGCACTGAGCTATACCTGTGCCCTGTTCTCTCTTGCTCTGCCTCTTTTGAGAAACAGCTGACATGCACAACCTGCAGTTGTGATGTTCTACAGGGTGTTTGACCTGGCCTCCAACAAACACAGACTAGGATGAATCAGTTTCCAGAGCAATGTCAATGACTCTGAATTGGGCTTTGATGTCTGCCATGGAGTTGACCCCACAGAGATTAACAACTGCAACCATGTGGCCAGTGTGCTTACCCATCAGGAAGAAAAAAAGAGAGGCTGTGTCTCATTTTCACTCAACAATACTAGTGATTAATGCACAGATATGACTAAAATATGGTTTCTTTCTGGAAGCCTGCCTGGGTTGAGAAAGCTCTACAAAAGCAGTCATGTGTCAGATGCTGTATTAAAAGCATATGCATAGAGTTACGGGGAATACATTGATATTTCAAAAAGTGTGTGGAAGTTAAGCTAAGACATATTTGTCCCATGGCAAAAAAAAACCTTTGAAGGCCACACATAGTTTTTCCATAATGTATGTTTCCATCAGCTTTTTTGAAGACTCCCCTATTAGCCACACTCTTATGAGGGTGGGAAAGGAACAATGGATACGAGTGATAATTGAAGACATAGGAAGAGTTTGAGAGGAGTATTTTGAGGACAAAAACAAAGGATGTATATATACAAAGACAGACATTTGAGTATTTCTTGCTTATTGATTTATTTAATAAAAAGAGAGAGGACGAGATCTCCCATCTACTGGGTCACACCCCAAATACCTGCAGCAGCTGGGACTAAGCCAAAGCCAGGAGCCAAGAAACACAATCCTGGTCTCTCATGTGGATGACAGGTACCCAGACACTTTAGTCATCACCTCTTGCCTCCCAGGGTGTGAATTAACAAGCAGCTGGAATCAGGAACAGAGCTGGCAATCTGTTACGGGGTGCAGTCATCTCACACAGCATTTTGATTGCTGTACCAAATGCCTATCCATGGACATTTCTTTAAGGCTAACAGACTTGGGGGAAGATATCCACTTCCTCCTCTGACCATGCTCCTTTGATAAACAGACCTTAGGCAGTTTATATATAATGCCATTACTCTTGGCAATGGCACGGTGGTTGGGTGTAAGACATGGGAGACAGGGCATTTTCAAAAATCCACATGAGACAAGTTGGCCTTCTTGGATAATGCATTTTCAGTCCATCTTAGTTTTTAAGCTCAGAGATAATTGTCTCCAATTTTTCAAAAAGAAATTATAAAGTTATTGGTCATGGGTTGTCCAATACCAGGTCCAGTTGTCTTAGTACCTTCATGGGTTTGTTTGGTGTTGAAGTGCAGGTAATTTCATGTTTTGACCTTTTACATGGATTTGTCAATTCTGATCTTTTGCTTCCAAACTAAGAAAACGTTAGGGATTTGTATGAGTGATGTAGTCCTTAGACATGTATTCTAGGCAAAGAATGCTTTATTCTACAGTGGGCATGTAGCAGTGTTTACTGAAGAGGACTGGGCTCCAAATTGTGTAGCATGGACATTTCAGTCCTGTGGAATAAGGAAAGAAACAAGAAAAACCCTAACTGTCATGATAGCTTAGTAATTTAGTAACTAAAAGACATTCAGGAAGGAGAGGGCATCAAGAAGTATAATCAAAATTTAATTATTAAATAAGTATTGAGGTCAGAATTAGTAGTTTATTTCAGTCATGCTCCCACATTGGTCATGGGAACTGGCCAATCCCACATTCTCTCAGGGGATCCTGAGTCTGTGAATTAGCTCTTTTCCTCTGATGGTGGTAAGCCACACAGTTCCCTCAGCGGAAGATTTTGATGGGAATTGCTTATTGATTTGGAGGAATGGCATTATTCTTCCAGGAAACTAGACTACAACTCTTCTTTCAATCTCTCATTGTTTATGGTTCAAAGCCTGACTCAAGGGATCCTAGAAGTTCATTACACAATAAAACTCTTGTCTCCGGCTTTGCAACACAAATGCTTACATTCATGCAGCGTGGATCTAATGAATTGTACAACCTAATTTTCAGAAAATAAAGTGCACTCATTCATATTTCAATACTGTGTGCATATTAGATTCTCCTTGGTCATAACATCACCAGAGAAGTTGGTGAAGGGAATGTAACCCTATGGCCAATTGATCCATCCAGTTGATGAGTTGTCCTCTGACGTGCCCCTGGCCATGAAAATCTATATGCTGATATTAAACACTCTGTCATCTCGTCTCTTTTCTGGCCGTCCCCACGTCTGTTCAAAATATTCTTGTTCCCTGTCCACTGCCATGTCTACCTAGAGCAAGCTTTGAATTTTGCCTTTATTTAGCAAGGGAAGGTCACAAAGAGCCTGGGGGAATGTGAGAAAGTAGAGGAAATTATCAGGTAATATGTTTGTTGGAGGACTAGCTTCCAGTCTGCTTCTTTTCTACTTCTTTTGGGGGCAATGCCCAGTCTTTCCTAGGCCTCAACTCTGGAATACGACGGGCTAGCCATGGCAGTGTGTATCACTACCGAGCCCCTGGCCGAGATGCCTCATTCCATGATGGGATCCCAGATGATGGAGTCTTTCATGGAGACCAGGAAAGCCATCGGAGCTCTCTGCTGCTGAGCAGAGATGCTGGCCAGCAAGGCCCCCTCCCTAGGAGCCCACTCACTCAACGCCCTAATCCTGGCACAGGGCATGGAGAAGATGGACACCTCATGTTGCCCACTGGTGAACCCATCCCCGGAGCTCCAGAAGTCTCGGTGAGTTTGTGAATGCCTTCCAGATACAGACCTTTGGCCAAAAAACCCTGAGTATCACCACTGAAAGTATTCTAACTTGTACTGTGCCTCCAGTGCCAGTAATGATGTTTTTCATCTACCCTCTGGCTAACAAAGGAGACAGAGCAAATTTTAGACTTACAAAGAGGTTGTTATATGATTACACTTACTTAGACACGTTCTTTAAATATTTATTTATTTGTTTATTTATTTATTTATTTGAAATACAAAGTTACAGAGGGACAGAGTGAGATCTTTGAGCTACTGGTACACTCCCCAAATGACTGCAATAGCGACAGCTTAGTCAGTCCCAAGCCAGGAACCAGGAACTTCGTCCAGGTCTTCCATGTGGGCGCAGTGGCTAAAAAACTTGGACCATCTTCCACTGCTTTCCCAGGCACATTAGCAGGGAGCTGGATTGGAAGTGGAGCAGCCAGGACTAGAACCAGGCTAGATGCTAACCTTTACCTACTTCACTACAGCACTGGCACATTCAGATAAGTTTTACAGAGTTGCCTCAATTCTGATCGAATGTCACGTGATTCAGGGTTCCAGCCAGAAACAGACTGATCACTCAATGGGCAAGTAGAGAGAATTTCAATAAAGAATTGACATATATGTAGGCTGGGCTTGAACAACTAGTGAGGCTCCTAGATGCCACTGAAGACCTGGTTGGCCACAGTATCCTAATCCTGTCTTTGTCTCTGCAGGCGTTTGATGCAGCCCAGAAGAAGGCTTTCTTGTCAGCGGAATACTTAGATGAGCCCTTCCGAACCCAAAGGGCAATGAGTGTTGTCAGCATCATGACCTCTGTGATCGAAGGTAAGAGCTTCCCATGGGAACATGCATCCACTGGACTGTGGTGAGCAGCAGAAGAAAGGCCCCCAACTTGTGTCAGTGGACACTCTCTGTGTCCAGGGATCCAAAATATCCCAGATATCCCTCCCCTCTCTGCTTTTTCTTCTGCATCTTTTTTTCAAAATCACAGGAATCCAATGAATGGCATGCTCTGGTCCATCTCTTGCTCCACTGTACATCTGCTCCGGAGCAGGTGCTCTCTCTATCGACAGAACTAGGTCTTACAGAGTGATCTGTCAGGCACCAGAGAAATCCAGGCACCTCGCCGGGAGATTAATAGTCAAATTCCCTAACGTGACCAAATTATCCTGCTTTTCATGGCTGTAACTTTCATGACTGTGAATTGACTTCTACCAAAAACCCCATTAAAAGGTAACTGGAGTCAACTGAACCAGTCATTTCCACTAAATTTTTGTGAATTCTGATACTAGAATGGGAATCCACTCAGTCTCTCCAGGGCTGTGTTGAAGTTCCAGGTGCTCATACCAACCCAAGGATGGCAGAAAAGAGTGGCACAGAGCCCAGACCACCTGCCCACCCAAGTGCCCATGGGGCATGGGTTCATCCCTCACCTGAGTGAGGCTTTTCTGTTGTAGCTTTTCTTCTGCCTCAGGCTGTGGAGAAGGTAGCCTTGATCGCATCCAGTCATAAGCCTCCCCCCTGTTCGGAACTAGAAGAAAGATAAGGGAAGTCTAAATGTTGAGGAAGTTGGGCTCTTTCCTCCCAAACCTGAAATAAGCCCTCGCTTAGGTAGAGGGTGTGTCATGCAACAGAAAGCCCTAACATGATGGAGGAAGTTGAAAGAAGAGCATATGTGGGCCTCTTTGTAGGCCAGTCAAGAAACAGATAACCTTAGAAAGGGACCAAAAAGCCAAGCATGGCACAGGAGCCAATCAGCAGTATTCCTGGGTGGAGACAGCCCCAAGCAGCCTCTAGACAGCACTGCGTGGTGCAGAAGAGAAGGAGAGTTGCTGTGCAATGACTTCTCCATCACCATGAAGGTTACGGATGAAAGTGAGTGAGAACTGAAGATGGAAAAAGCCATCCATGACTCTCCCGTCAGAGACCACATGGAAACCACAACTCAAGTCAAGTGCACTTGGCAGTGACTAAGGAGCATCTCAAGCCTCCTACAAACATGACTTCCTCAATCTCAGGCACGGCCTTTGAACTAACTGGAATAAAAATATCCAGGGTGGGATTGTAGTGCAGCCAAGAGGAAAAGAAAATTGCTAAGTTGCATTTCTCACCACCTGTACTCCTCCTTTTCTAAAAGTGCATCATCAGAGAAAGAGAGAGACAGGTGGATAGAGATATTCTGTAAACTGATTCACTCCATCCAAATACCAGGCAAGACGAGGAATCCTTAACTTCCTCCAGATCTCCCACATGGATGGTGAGAACCCACATAATTGTACTATCACTGCTGCCTCTCAGAGTGTGCATCAATAGGAAGTTGAATAGGAAGCAAAGAAACTAATATGGGATGGCAGTGTCCCAGGCAGCGACCTAACTGCTGCACCAAATGCTCTTACCACTCTTAAGCAACAAGGGGTGTAGACTATTATTATTTTTTTCACAACTAATTATTTAATAGGCACTTTTGATTGTAGTGGTATCTGCAATCCTAACATTTTTATGGCTAGATAGAACTTCACAATTTCACAATGTTGCCATGTCTGTTTCGTTGCTTAAGGTGTTTTTTTTTTTTTCTGTTTTCCCTCTAACCACAAGTAATGAGTGTGCCTTTTCATGTGTTCTCTAGAACTGTCACAGTTCTTTTCTTCTTGTCATTTGTTCACTTAGCAGGGAGCACTCACTTAGCAGGGAGCACTTGCCGTTATGGATCTGGTGTTCTTACGAGCTCCAGGGCTCCTTAATGAACATGATGGAAGCAGCTGTTGGGGAAGCCCACATCCTGAGATGCAAAGGCACCCAGAGCATAAACACAAGTAGAATTAGAGTAGTGATAAGAACTGGGAGAAGAAAGAAAGTGATGGGCAGGAAGCCAAGAGCAGGGAGAAGAAGGGGCAGTTTTAGATGCGATGTGTGAGAAAGACCCTTATGGATAAGGAGAGCAAAAATGAAGTTAGACAGTCATGTGAGAGCCTAGGTAAGGTCACTCCATAGATCTGGACAGCAAGCCTGAGACTGCAATGAATCAAATGTGTGTGCCCAACACTGCAGTAGAAGCAAGAGCAAAGAAGGCCTTCAGGTGGAGGAGAGGCAGCAAAGGAAATGGTCAGTAAGAACACACCATGGAGCCTGAACGCTGGTGGACATCCTGGATTTGCCACTGAGCTTACCTGACAGTCTCAGAGTTCCAGACTTCTAGGTGCCTCTATTTTCCCACCAGCAAAAGAAAAGGTGAAGATATCTTTATCTTGCCATGGTCTTTTGAGGATTCGGTAATTAGTTAAGACCAAAAAAAAAAAATCCTTAGAACCAGGACTGGCACATAATAAATATTCACCAGATGTGGCCTGTCCTTGTTCATTGCACTACAAACTCCACAACATGATTCAGTCCTCCATGTGTGGCACAGAGTGGACCATCTCACCAAATAGTGGTGGAATTCATGGCAAATGAGAGGGTCTCAAAGAAGTGGTATGTGGGAGGAGGGCTGCTAATTTGCAATGATCAGAACTAGTTAAATACAGAAGACAATAAGTAACAGCCAGATACATTGGGATAAGGAAGAGTTATTTCAATGAAGATACTAAGAGAGTAGACAAAGAAATGCAAGAAAATTGGCATTTTAAAGGAAATCTCGATCAAGAAAGTTTTAGATCTGGTCCAAGCTTTCTGAGCGAAGTGCATGATTCAGTCCGGTTGCATGTTGAACCCTTTATACCCACAGGATACACGAAGCATATGTCACACCATCATAGCTGTGATAAGGTTTAAAAAGTCTACAAGAATTGGACAATTTGCTGAATTCAAGGCCTCCATGCCTGGTACTCCTGCTGAGATCTGACAATTGTCCAACCCAGAAGCACCAATGCGGATCGAAGCAGTGAAGATGACTGCCCTCACCCTTAGTGAGAGCGAATTTGGAGCAAGTAATGAATTTGGGGCTAAGTGTCTTGAAAGAGAAGTGCAGAATGTTGAGAAAATTTGCTAAGCTTAGTTTGGGGTCATAGACACATTCTAGGTTGCAAAGACTCAAAGGAATAATCAAAAACCCTGCAGCAGAAAAAGCACAAAGAGAGGGACTCGAACTATGATCAAAGAGATGCCCAAGAACTGCCTAGATGGCAATGAAGATACTGGACTTCATCCTAAGCAGAGGGAGGTGCTGCTAAAGGACTGCAGGTGGCCAGGTTCCGGGGTAAGGTAGGGGGCGTGAAGGTGAATGGAAGAATTTGAGAGCTATCTCCAGGACACGGGAACTAGGACTGGTTAAATTGCAAGCAAGTGAAGAGAATTCCTTGCAGTGACTCATAGGGGATCGCTTCCGGGACAGCACGGGACTTTGTTGGAGAGCGATGAAAGAGAAAGACCCAAGAATCAAGCATGGGACATTCTGGGTTTCAGATTCACTGCAAACACCCAGGGATGTCCAACAGAAGCTGACTTTACAATGAGTGAATCTAGAACTTGGACAAAGAATAGTCTGGAGGTGCACCAAATTTCTACATGAAAAAAGTGAAACAGCAAGAGAAGGGGGGGTGGCGGGGGCATGGATGGAAAGGCTTCACAGGCAAGCCATAATAAAAGAAAAAGAAAAGCAACAATAAATTTGGCCGCATTTGAGTTTTTCAATGCACAGTGGGGGAAAGGAGCTGTTAGTAACATTCAGGAGTATCCAGTGCTTTTGACACATTCATTTTCTTTGGAAAAATGCACATGTTGAAAGAATTCCAGGCTTCCAGCAGCATTCCTTCCCATTTTTCGTGAGTCCTTTAAGCCACATCCTATTCATAAATAAGCATACACATCACATGTATAGAAAGATTTTTCTGCCTCACCACAAACCAATCAACCTCATCCTTTTCCATGTCATTTACTGGTGACTTTCCATTGTACGTTGACTGTAAGCAGCGGGTGCTGTGTTTCTTTTACTTTTGTGGACTGGTACATGACTGGGAATGGAACTGGTAGGTAAAGCTACAGCTGTAAGATTGCCCTCCACAGAGGTGGCCCTTATTACACATCAAAGCGGAGATTTAATGGAGGCAAGCTAGAGAGAGAGTGCTCAAGGAAGATCAGTAATTGCATACATTTCTTCTCTGTCTTTTGGGTAATTTCAGTTGTAGAAATGGCATGTAAGAGGACATTTGAAAGAGGACATTTATGGAAAACAGGTTGAAGAAACCATTTGTTTCAATGCAAAATAATTTAAATCCATGCATCTCTAGGGTCTGTAAAAAGTTTGTGGGAAATAAATTCATATGATGGAAAAATTATGTACAGGTTTCAAAATGTTTTTGCACAAGGACAAACTTACCTTTTAACTCTGTTTTTCCATGAGCTTAAATAGACATGGAGGGAGGAATCAACACAGAAATGGTTTCATAGGCTCTGGGGTTCAGTGAGATTCCCTAGAGAGGAAAAAAGGGGTTAAGAGAGAACACTTGAGTTCTCCAATGCTTAGAGGTAGGAAAGGAGGATCAGCATTTGGCATGGTTAAGATTCACCTTGGAATGTTGATATCCAACACTGGAGCACATGAATTCAAGGACTCTGCTTCCAGTTCCTGCTTGCTGATTCTGCACATCCTGGGAGGCAACAGGTTATGTATCAGTGATCAATGACTTAGGTCCCTGCCAAGCAGGAGATTCACTAAGATCCAGGTTCCAGGTTCCTGTCTTTAACTTGGCCCACGAACCAGCAATGGATATCTCTCTCCCTCTCTCTATCTCCCTCTCTCTCCCTCTCTCTCTCTCTTTTTCTCTCTCTCTTTCTCTGTCTCAATTCTGTCAATGAAATGCTGTGAAAGGAAGTGTAAAATGAGGACTCATGATTTCAATTTGGAAAAATAAAACCAGATCCCAGAGAAAAAGCACAAGAGAGGGTGAGGAAGCAGAGGAGTAACCCAAGCATACAAAACTCCTACATGGAATTTCACCATTAAGGAGAACATGGGATCTTGGGAAACATTTTTCAAAGCTGAGGTGAAATTAAATCTGTTTTACATGCTGATGGAGGTAGTCCAAAGGGGAGAGAAGGAAACAGTATGTGTGTAAATGGGTGCACCAGGAGAAAGATGGGGTCACCACTGCAACACAAGGGGCTCAGGGCAGAAAAGAAAAAATAAGCAAGTTATTTTAGAGGCAATCTTGTATTCTGAATGAAACAGGAAAGAGCTCATCAGCAGAGGGTGAGGAGTAGAGGGAAAGAGATGGAGTTGGAGGAAAAAGGAGAAGGTAAAAACTAATGGTCTGGGCAAGTGCAGAGTCTGTGAAATGGGTGCATTCAAGTTGGGTTTCCCTATGCAAATGCAATGGAGTGGAAGAGGGCAACAGAACTTAGAGTCTGCAAGGGAGAAATTAGAGGGACAAATATGACAGCTTAGCTGAGTGAAGGACATGACATAGGTGATGGGCAGTAAAAACGTGTATGTCCAGTGGTTTGAAGGACTGGAAATGCTGAATGAAGCTTTGAGAGTAAAGGAGCTGGGAGGGTAGGAAATGACCCGTGGAGAGAAAGAGGGTTGAAGTCAAGATGTCGGAAGTGACCTGGGAGTGGCCACAGGACAGCGGTAGCACAGAGTTAACAGCTGTCATTTTCCATCCTGCAATGCAGAACTGGAGGAGTCTGGACAGAGGTGTCCACCGTGCTTGATCAACTTGGCGCAGAAGTATCTCATCTGGGAGTGCTGTCCCACATGGATGACGCTCAAGAGCAGACTCTTTGACCTTGTGACAGACCCCTTTACCGAGCTCACCATCACGCTGTGCATCGTGGTGAACACCGTCTTCATGGCCATGGAGCACCATGACATGAGCGACACATTTGAAGCCATGCTGCATTACGGCAACATCGTGAGTAGCTGCAGCAGGTGCTGCCTGCAGGAGCGTGGCAGGGGCTCTGTGGGAGGCAGGGAGGGTGCCTCTGTTCCTCACCATGCTGATCTCATCAGCTGAGGAGAGTGGCAAGTGTGGGCGATGCGGGAGTCCAATCTGGAGGACCCAGGCTGAGCTGGTGGAAATTGCTTTGGGATGAACAAGCACATGCAAGTGGATGGAGAGAGCCCTGAGCAGGAGGCAGACTCCCGGAACCCCTTCACAGAGCCTCCAACAGCCACTTGAGTCTCTCTGGCCGCCAGCTGCCTCCATCCTGACGTAAGGGATAAACAGCACTTTCCTAGCTCATGGCAATCCAAGCACTTGGAAGGTTCCTTCCAGTTTAATTACTTTCATAGCTACAATTAACAGTGGTTCTGATGTTCAATGCTGCCATTTAAGGACAGACAGGGTGGCGACGCAAGCTAGAGGCAGGGTGGGGGGTGCGGCGGGCGAGGGGTGGGAGGAATGTAAAAACAAAAGCATCGGGATGTCAGAAATGTTCTTTCACATCTAGTGTAGGCATGATTCTACTTTCAATTTTCCTGCAATATTTTCCAGTATTATCTGCTTTCAGCATGATAGAAAGAAAAACAGGCTGAGTAAAGGGTCTCCACAGGAGAGCAGCATCCCAGCCTGCTCCTTGCTGCAGAGTAACTTACAGCCAAGGTGACGTGAGCACCCACTCAAGGCAGACACGCTCCCCACGGCTCCTGGGGCATGACTTCATTTTATTTCCACAGCAGTCCTCTATGCAGTCTGCACCCAAACAGACTGACTCCAGAACTCACACTTCTTAACCTTGGGTATAAACCACCTCAAGGGCCTGCTGCTATGACACACATATTTATGTGTATATGTGAGCATGTATGAATGCCCATGTATACACACACAGGACAACAGGAAGTTGGGCACCCAGATGCACCAGGACCATCAGATCTTCCAACTCCCCAGGGACTGCAGGTTCAGGGAATCCTGGAAGAAACTTCCCTAATAACCCCCACCTCATCCTCCACTTCCTCTAAGCACTGAGGAATCCACCACAAACACCAGAACACTGTAGAATCAGCATGGCTTAGATGCTTAGATTCTGGCAGCAGCTGAGCTAAACTGTCACGTTCTACTTAAAGTGGATGCAAATAATTATACTGAAATATTACATTGGGCACCATAAATAGACACAATCAAAATTACAAGAAGCAAGTAAATAGAAACATCTTTATTTCAATAAATAATTACGACTAGGCAGTTGGCTTAGCAATTAGGATACTGATTAAGATGTGCCCACATCCCATATTGAAGTAGCTAGGTTTGAATCCCTGAGCTGGCTCCTGGCTCCAGCTTCCTGCTAATGAAGGCTCAGTTAGGTGGGCCTCTCCCACCCACGTGGAGATCTGGACTGTGTTATCTGCTGGTTCCAGCATGTCCCAGTCCCATCCATTGTGGGCATTTGAGGATTGAATCAGTGAGTATGATTCATTCTCTCTCTCTTTCTCTCTCTCTCTCTCTCTCTCTCTTTCTGTGTGTGTGTGTGTGTGTGTGTGTGTGTGTGTGTATGACCAATATAAATAAATACAGCAGATGTGAAGAGGAAAATGGAAACAGAGTGGAATGCTTACTTACGTAAAGTAATAGAAGACCACACAGTGCCTTTTGAAACTGACTCACAGGGACCGACACCACAGCACAGTGAGTGAAGATACCACCTTCTTTGCTGGCATCCCTCATGAGTGCTGGCTTGAGTATCTGCTGTACCACTTCCCATTCAGCTGCTGGCTGGTGCACCTGGGAAGTGCTTGGGCCCCACCACCCACATAGGAGACCTGGATGAAGCTCCTGGTTTCTGACTTTGGTATGGCCTAGCCTTGCCTGTTGTGGTAATTTGGAGAATGAACAAGTGAATGGAAGAGTTTCTCTCTCTCTCTCTCTCTCTCTCTCTCTCTCTCTTTCTCTTTGCTTTTCAAATAAATATTTTTAAAAACAGATAGAAGTACTAAATAGACCTTGGAACCCCCACACACCCTCGTGCCGTGGTTGGAGAAGCTGAAGGATCATAACAGAGCCAGGGGTGCCTGCATCGAGTCTGGTGCTTGGGGAATGTTAACTCAACACCAAACTCCGTAGTCATCACCATCATCACATGACAAGAGCACTGACAGAAGTCGAGTATTCTGCCCATGGTCACACAGCTGGTGACATGAACCACAGTTGACTTGGGCCTTGGACCTCAGTGCCCCCAGTACACACACACCCCACTAGCCTCCTGCAGAGGCCATGAAGAAGATGCTCTGAGTGCCACAAGTGCAAGTCTGTGGGACTAGGCAAGCCCCTTGGTTCTGAGCTTGTTGTCACAGGGGTGGATAGTCTGGGATCCCAGGTTGCAAGATGTTTCCATTAGAGTATACAGAGGTGAAGGACAACCCTGACCTTAGCCTTTGCTTTCCTCATCTTTTCCTCCACGCTGCTTGTTGCATGACCTGAATCTATCTTGCCCTCTCCCACTGTTAGAATTCTGTTTAAGGCAACTGGAGACATTGGGAGCTGAAAGGCATTGTGCTCTTGTTTCTGTAAATCACAAATATTTATTCATGACTTGCTATCTGCCAGGTCCTAGGATAAGAGCTGTGCATGAATTAGTTTGTTGTAAACCCCAAAGGCTCAGAAAGGCAGCATTCCCTGTCCAAGCTGACCAAGCTAACTAACAGCTGAGCTGCGATTCTTGCTGGGTCTGTGTTGCAGTCCAGCCTGTGCTGTTTAGGCACTGGAGCAGACTAACTGCCTCAGTTGACTCAAGAGCTGCCCTAGCAGCAACCCATACATTTCACTCCCACTACCATTCATTCAGAAAAAGTAAAGTGTGAGTTCTAATGCAACACCCTGGCACTGGTTTAGAAATTCCTTGATCCTGCCCCATTTACTGATCCCCTCCCCAGTCCTCAGGAGAGAGACAAAAAGTAAGATGAGTTTGTTTATAGTGAAAACATATCATGTTCACCCTGCCCATTTTACAGTTGTTCTCCCCGCTACCCCACAAATTCCAACCATGAAGAAAACCTATTTCCATCCACAGGTGTTCACCATCTTTTTCACTGCTGAAATAGTCTTCAAAATCATCGCCTTCGACCCCTACTATTACTTCCAGAAAAGGTGGAACATCTTTGACTGCTTTGTCGTCACTGTGAGCCTGGTGGAGCTGGGCACCCCCACAAAAGGTGGCCTGTCCGTGCTACGCACCTTCCGCTTGGTAATGCTCTCTCTCAGCAACCTCTGGAAGCCCCTTCCTGCCCCTGAATCCAGACAGGTTCACCTGGAGGAGATACACCGTTCTTTGAGCTTTCCACAGGCCAGCTTCCCAAGTCCCTTCTGTCCCTGTAGGAGGGAGACCGGGCACAGGAGAGACCTCTTTGAGCTGGGGTCCTCACCTCTGCCCCAACACAAGACTTCTGAATGATACCCTGTTCTCTCACCAAGCAATGAGAGCAATGACAGCTATACCAGTAAGCATTTCATGTGTTACACACAGTGCTAGAACCCAGATGGAGGCCTCATTCTCAAATGCCCCGGTGCCCCAAATCCCCAGCCTGAATGTCCCATGTACCCCAAAAGCTGCCCATCCTCAAGTGCCAAAGCACATCCAAACTCAGTTCCAGGACTTTCCCACAGGTAGTCTCTCTCTGGACTCCTTACCCATAGGCCATCACTTTTTCAGAGCTACAGTTGTCTGCCCACCAGTCAGGTTCCCCAGAGGAGAGTTGGGGTCACTGGTGTTTCCCAAGTCCTCAGTACATTCACAGGAATGCGGTGCTCTTACTGATTCCTAGGAGTAGCAAAAAGCCTGAAGAGATGGCCTGACCAGTTAACACAACCCTTGTCTCGATACACTCTCAGTTGCCAACCAGAAGCCCAATCTCTAGCAGTAGAGAGAAAAAACCCAAGTGTGTGAAAGAATGGCCAGTGATTTCTCCAAGTGCAGCTGTAGGTTCTGCCAAGAGCCAGATATCCAGGGTCTAAGAGGTTGTATGACTCCAGGATGCCACGCAGCCTACATGAGGGCCTAGGTCTCAGGATGGGACTAACAAATCAGCACCAAGGCCCTCTACTTGCTTGACCTGACTTGTGGTGGCAACCCAAGTGCCTATAGCCTTGAAATGGAGCTGATCACAGGCAATGTGCTAGCTCTGGACATGGACCTCAGAGCAAAAGGCAGAGATGAGTCTTCCCTGCTGTACCGGACAAATGCAAAGCCCCACACCAAAGAGAAGTAGCTATAGAGAAACCAGTGTGACTTCTTCCTGCCAGGCTCCCCAGTCCACCAACAAAACAGAAACCCAGGCTTTTGGGTGAACAAATTTAATGTTAGCTACTAATTCCATTTGTGTATGAAAATAACACAACAGAGGCTCAGTGATGCCTGTCCTGAGACCCAGTGTGTCATGTACCACTAGCTGATCTCATCTGCCTAGACAGATCTGTCCTCCCCCATCCCAGGGAGAAAGCAGAGGGGCCCGACCCTTGACTCATAATCTGTAAATGTCAAAGCAAAATTAAGTCACATTTCAGAAAAGCATGTTTCTTTAAGTATCAAACCATAAGCCAGCAGTTGGTGTCAGGCGTCCAAGTACAGTGAGTTCCCTGATAAAATGTGAACATGATTGGGGAAACAGAGGCTTGCTGGTATCAGGTAGATGTGCTGCCCATGAAGTGCAAAGACGCAAACAAAGTTGACTTCACAAGCTGGGCCAACATCATTGTCCATGTGCATGGTTCCCTGCCAAACACCCTCTTGAGACAGGGGGTGTCTATTCATCTCTGAACTTGGCTCAGATTTCATGATCCACCAATGTTGTTAACATTCGAAAACAGAAATCTTCCTGCCTTTCCCTTCTGCCCTTGCAGGTGCATGTGTTTGGCAAATCCATACCCTGGGGTCCAAGCCAACTCTTTCACTTTATGACTGCATCCAAGATGTGGACATTACTGGAGAAGAGCAATACAGCTCAGCAGGCCAAATTCCCAGCTTTAATTGACAGGCGAAGTTGGGAAGATTGTGCAGACAGCTCCCATATAGCATCTACACCTCAAGAAACACACACACACACACACACACAGGGTTTCTCCTACCATCAACATTTTGTGTTAAGCCAGCACATTCATTGCATGTAATTCTTCAGTGGCTCCCCACATCAGGGCTTCTCCTGGCCTAAGATCTTGGCACACTGGTTTCTTCTGCCTGTGCAGATTTTTCCGTGGGCTTCAGGGAACTCATCTATGCCCCACCTTGCGCGTACAACTGAAGTGCCGCTTCCATGGAGAGGACCTGCCCGACTCTCTCTGCCAGGAGTCTCCCCAGATGTAACTGCTGGGCTCAGTGAACACGGATCTTAAAATTCTGTGAGACAAGAAGCAGAGTTTTCTTGTTTAGCATCCTATGCCAAGATCCAGAACACAGGAAGGAGCTTAGTCAACACTGTTGACAGATGGAAGGAAGGAAACTGAAAAAATGGTGGAGGGGGGGCAGCGGGGGAATAAGAAGGGAGACATGAAAATTCCGTGACTCCCTTCTCAATTTCCACTTCCGCCCACAAAATAGCATCCCTTCTTGCCCTGTGGTTAAAGGCCTCGCCCCACTAGCCAGTGGGCTGACCCTTGTCCCTATGGACTTCGTTATTGCAGCTTTGAAAATGAGCCTGGAAGGCAAGTGTGTCACCTCCCTTTCCATCTTCAGAGATAATATGGCCCACATGCTTTCCTTATTCATGTTAGAATGAGCTTGCTAAGTCACACATCTCAGATGTGTCCTTTTCCATTGAGACTACAATAACATATAGGTCAGTTTGCCAACAAATGTTATCTTTCCATTATACAGTTTTTTTGACTTAGTGAGACAATATGCTCTCCACTGCTTGCTACTTCAATGCAATTTTATAATTTTGCTAGAAAGTTTTGACAATTTGCCCCATAGGACCTCTCCAAAGTTTTTACAACTTTTTAATAGACACATAAAATTGTGTGTATTGGTGGGATGCCATGCAATGCACACATTGTGTAATTTTTAGAACAGACCAGGATATGTGTATCTGTCTTCTCAAACACTCATCATTTAATTGTGAAAATACACAAAGCTTTTCTTCTAGATCTTTTTAAATATATAGTACAGTGTCATTATCTGTAGCCACAATAATGCTGTCAGATACCAGGAGTTCTTTTTCCCCAGTAACTTAGTACCTGTTATCCAGAATTACCGCGCACCCTCCCCTCCTTGCCTCCCTTTACTGACTCCTCAGCTCTGGTGGTCTGTATTCTACTTGCCACTTCCATCAGATCAACCTTTTTAGATCCACATATGAATAGGAACCTTGCACATCTTTCTAAATGTCCTTTTCTAACCTCTTTTGGCTAACATTTTAATCCTTGGTTTTCACATCCAGAAATGTGTCTCGCTAATTCTGATGAATTAGCTAATATAATCTTTTAAATGTTTAACACAATTACATCTTGTACAAATAATGAGTTCTGCTTCTTGTCTAACCCTTATATCATGTGGTCCTTTTTAACTACTTTATCAGGCGATTAGGACATTCAGTACACACTGTTTGAAAGGAAACGGCAATAACTGGCATTCTTGCCATTTTCCTGGTCACAAAGAGAATGATTTCCTACTTCACCAAGAGTTGAAAAAAATTAAAAATCCATATTAATTTAGAAAATTATTTTTGTTTAGAATATTTATCATGGGTAGATGTGTAATCTTACTAGACAATTGTCCCATGTATAATCACTTGAGTCTTTAATCTGTCAAAATGATTATCTTAATGGATTTTCTAAGGTTAAATCAACCTTGCATTAGAAAATTCAGTTCGCTAATAATTTACTGAAGAGTTTTACATCCAAACTGGTAAGTAGTATTTGACATTTAACTTTCCCTATTTGCAGCATTCTTGTCAAGTTTTAGTGGTGAAGTATCAAGGTTATGGTAATCTCCATTAAAAGTCAAGAATTACCCCCTCTTTTTCCTTAATTCACTCTTTAAGTAATCAGTGGAACTATTTGTTCCTTGCAAGTTTGATAGAACTCCCTAGTGAAATCACCAGAGGGTCAAGATTTCTCATTGCTGCTTCAATTTTCTTATTGGTTACACATCTAGTCATGTTTTCTAGTTCTCTCATTGGTTTCCTTTCTTATCTAAATGTTCACGATTGCTGGCAAGAAGCAGCCATTCCAGGCACTGTCGTTGGCATGCTGTCTGTGTGGCTTGCATGTCTGTAGCATGGCCCTCAGAGATGCATGAGACAGTTAAGGAGTGAGGTCCGGGGTAAGGTCACTAGGTCACACAGCATGTCCCTTCAGAGGTGACTACCGCAGGTCTCATGGGGCCCTGGTTGCTGTCTCACTCTGTTTCGTTGTGTAATCTCTCTCTCTGTTGCATGTGTTGTCATGTGTCGTGAGGTCTTCCTCCAAACTGAGGGCCAGTGCCACGCCCTTGAACCAGATCAATGAGTTAGAAAGTACCCAGTCTTATGTGTTCTGTTAAAATAACAGTGACCCAATACACTATGTTCTTCTCTTCAAAGTCTATAGTTAGGTCATTGTTTTCTTAATAATGAGTTGTGCTTTCTTTCCTTGTTTTTCACTAGTCTTGCCAAAAATCATCAATTTAATTAATTTTTTTCGAAGAACCAACTTCTGGCTTTTAATCCTGTCTGCGTCACTGTTTTCCTATTTCATATAATCCTGCTTCTTATCTTAATTACATCCTCCATTTACATATTTTGTTCTTTTCTAACTTCTCAAAATGCAATTTTCAGTCTATTTTCTTTTCCAATAGATTCACTTAAGATTTCCATTTTCTTCTAAGAACTGCTTTAATCTTTAGAATTTTCTTTATTACTTGGTTCTACATATTCCATAATTTCTACTTTGATTAATTCTTTGACTCAAAGTTCAATTACAAGTTCTTCATTTTGAAACGTCTGTAGTGTTTCTAGTTATCTTTATGCCATTGAGTTCTAGCTTAACTCGATTATAGTCAGAGAACATATGCTGAATGATTTTCATGCTTTGAGTTGTATAATTTCCTTCTTTGGCTCGATATATTGAAAATGTTCCTTTTGTACTTGTAAAGGAATATATCTTCTGTGACTGTTGGGTGCAATACTCTGTATACATCCTTCAGTAGAAAAAGTTCATTGTGTGGTATAAATGCCCTCTGTCATTGCTTATTGTCATCTGCTGCTTATTCTAGCAATTACTGAGGGCCGATGTGTAAAATATCTCCCATTCCAGTTACAGCCCCCTCTGTTTCTCCCATGTTGATGTCTTCAGTCTTCTTTTTCAAGCACACATCTATCTCTAAGTTGCTGTTTCTTCCCAGTAAAATAATGTTTTTGTCATTAAAACTGACCTTCTACATCTCTAGAATAGTTCTTTGCCTTAAAAAAAAAATCTCTTTGCTGTTATTCATTAAATACCTTTGTTTCCTTTTGGCTTAGAATGTGCATGGTGTATTTCGATCCCCTCTTGCACTGACAGTATTCACGGATCCTCAGCATTTGCATGTCTCTTGCAAAGAGCATCCAGTCAGATTTTGGATTCATATTCCTTTGTGACAGCCAGTCTTTGTCTTCTAGCCAAAATACTTCACCTACATGTTTTATTGTGATTCCTGATCTCTTTGAATAGGTGTAAATGTGTGTGTGTGTGTGTGTGTGTGTGTGTGTGTGTGTGTGTGTGTGTGTGTGTGTATGTAGGACACCTTAATGTTTAGATTGATTATTTTCCTTTGTTTTGTTTCTCATCTTTGGTTGCTTTGAAAGCTGCAAGCTCCAATTTTGTTCTTTTAAGTCTTGGCTTGGAAATGACAGAATAAGCAGAACTTAATCAAAATTTAATAAAATCTTTACTGTCCACTAGGACACCTACTACTCATTCTAGATATCCCTTCTCAGGACTTATTGTCACGCTACATATTTTATCTTGCTTTTAACCTTTTTTCCACTAACTAGGGGTAACTATTTCTCTTATACCAACAATCTCAAAAACTCAGTAGCTTAACCCAATAAAGGTTTATTCCTCTGATGGAAGACAAGCAGCTCTTGGTGGGACACCTTCAAGGAGTGACTTCCCCATACTCAAAGAAAACCTTCAGCCTTCAGAGCTGACCCCTTCTTTACAGAAAAGCAGGACTCCAAGGACTTTTTTTCTGTTTAAATAATCAGAGGGTTTTTTTTTTTTCAATTGCTTCTCTCAGTTTATTTTTCAGTACAAATCCTTTGGGAATGTAGATGCCACACACTATACATTTAACGTGATTTTTTTGGTAGAGTCCTCAGGTCCGCTTTATTCCTTTGATTCCCTATTTCTGTTCCTGCATCTTTCTCTCTCAGGAAAAATGGTAGCTGTCTCATTAATACATGATCTTTCCTAGGAGTTACTCACCTCATTGGAAAAACTAATCATACATTGCAGCTTAAATTTATTTTACTGTGATGAGTTGTAGAAAATGAAAACTATGTAGGTGACAGCCTTGGTAATATGCCACTGGAGTAATTACGTGGCAGTTTTTATTGTTGCGAACTGGTACGGTTTGATGCTTATCTGTTCATTTCTTGTACAATTTGGCTTGGGTGGGAATAGCTTACAGACACTGCAGGCCATCTCCGGCCTTACAAAAGTAAATATGCAAACTCAGAGAGTGCAAGGTGGCTTGGGTCAGTTTCTTCCCCACCTGAGGTTAGGACTGGAGAAGGGGCGGATGAGATAAACTGAGAAGGAGTGTCAGGAGAATTACCATATATGCACATCAACTTTGCTAAGCAGAAATAATATATTTGTTTCTTTGGCAAATTAAATACGGTTGTCCTATTACAAGCCAAGGCATTTTTGCCAAATGGCTCAAATATACCTCCATTTGTATTTTCTATCTTTAAAATGCTGCTTTGAAACAGGAATATGTATAAGAGCCACTTTTTTACGTAAGGCTCCAGATATATAACAGGTGTGAGATTAGCATAATTTATAACAGTTTGTCAGTATAACCAATATTGAAAACTCAAGTTATCTTCAGCATATTCACATAAATTCAGGGAGAAAAGGTAACCAATTTCATAATGTAAGTTTATTTTTGTTATTTGCCGTATTTGATTTGAAACAGTAGAAAAATTTTGTAAGTCAAATTTGAATGTCATAGTACATTGTATGTTAACTATAGCAAACATTTACATGTTTTTCTGCAGTAAATTTCTTCTAAAGTATACTTTCAATTTTTCTGTGCAGACATATGCAATTAATTGATACGTTAAAAGTCTGGGAAAAAAAGGAAGAAAGAAAGAAAAGCTAAGTGGTGTTCAACAAGTAGAGGTCTAATTCATTCCTTACTATCTGCGATCAGGATGCACTCCACTTCCCCAAATTTTCAAGGTTTCTATGTTCTGGTTCCTTACATTTCTTACAAAACAGTCAAATCTTTCCTGGAATCATTTCTTTCTTGTAATATTGTGACAAACTCTCAATTGCAACTGACACACAATATTAAGATTTGACAAACCCTTCGGAGTGACCCATTCCAAGCCTGTCATGTCAGTTTCCTTTTTGTCCAGCACATGATCACTAAGCCAATGTTTTCCAAGGGGCAATGCCTCTTTTTGCTAATTTTCACATCAGTCAAGATAAATGCAACCAACTGCAACAATCCTCCAATCGCCAATCCCAATCTTTGAGTTAAGAATGGTAGAGGTCTCTATCTCCCAGAACATCCAACAGGATGCTTTCCTGGGAGCGTCCCCTCCGTGTGATGGCTCAGATATTTAGGATGATCTCATCTTGTGATGGCATGGTATTCAGTGGATTCCTCTGTAGTGACCATGGAAGAAAAGGAGAAACACAGAGGTTTTCTGATTCCATCTAAAAACCAATGTACATTACTTTTGCACCCATCAGCCAAAACTCAGTAAGATGTCCCCACTATTTGGGAGCTCTTTCATACACCCATGCAGCATCACTGTTGAGTACGATCGTTGGGATTCATTCTGATGCTTAGCACTTGCTTGCTCTTCATACCTGCTTGTGTGTAGCACCTTCCTTCTGGGCTCATTCTCCATCACCTGAGATATCTCCTTTAGAGTTTCTTGAAGGAAGTGCAATAAACTCTCTCACCTTTGTTTATCTGGAATCTGTCCTTTGCTTTTATTTTGTCTTTGAGAGGTATTCATTACGGGTATAAGCTCATAGATAATGATTTCATCTCCACTGCTGTCGATGAGCCACCAGATTTTTCATTTCACTGTTGTTGACTTTTCTCTGGGTTCTTCCAAAACCTTCTCTTTGTCCCCAGTGTTTTACAATTGCACTATAACGTGTCTAGGCATGGATTTCTTTTTATTTCTAATGCTTAGACTACATTGATTTCCTTAATCTATAGGTCTGTGTTTGTCTTCAGTTCCTGCGAGTTCTCAGGTATTTTCTCAACACATACAGCCTCCATTCTTTTCCTTCAGGCTGCTGTCTCGCTCATGCCTTCACATCTCTTACACCATTTTGATCTCTACCATTTTACATTTCTCTGGGCTGCATTACAAACAACTTCCTTTGATTTATCTTCAGTGCATCAAATTCCTCCTTAACTGTGTCAAATGTGGTCTGACACTCCTCCAAAGGAGTTTATGAAACGTGTGCACCCTGTGCTTTCCCCAGACCTCTGCTTTCTGCCAATGACCACAGATGCCAGCACCTGATGCGGTCTCTGGTTCCCTGCAGCTGCGGGTCTTCAAGCTGGCCAAGTCCTGGCCAACCCTCAACACACTCATCAAGATCATCGGGAACTCGGTGGGGGCGCTGGGGAACCTCACTGTCATCCTGGTCATCATCGTCTTCATCTTTGCCCTGGTTGGCAAACAGCTCCTGGGAGAAAGCTACATCAAAAACTGGAGGAACATCTCTGACTCTGGTGAGAAGCTGCCTCGCTGGCACATGCATGACTTCTTCCACTCCTTCCTCGTCATCTTTCGGATCCTGTGTGGCGAGTGGATCGAGAACATGTGGAACTGCATGCAGGTCGGCCAGGAGTCCGTATGCCTCGTCCTCTTCTTGATGGTGATGGTGCTGGGAAACCTGGTGGTAAGTGGGGGATCTTCTGGGTGGTTCCGGCAAACTTTGACCTGTGTAATGGGGCCCCCATTACACCCCACTGACTGCAAAACCTTCACACTACTCAAAATACACTCACACATGCACACACACCTATGACGAGACGTAGCTTTGGGAGGCAGCTGGACACAGCTGACAGGGAAAGCTCTAGTGTGAATCTCCAAGTCACTGTTCACAAATGGGATGACCCAGGGCAAGAAGCTTAATCTGTCCAAGCTCTAACCCTTTTTGGGGGAAATATATATATATTTATATATATATTTATATTATATAATATAATATTATATAATTTAATAAATAAATTAGATAAATATAATTATATATTTATATTATATATATATATATAAAAGAAAGAAAAGAAGTTCACTCCTAGGCTGCCTGGAAGAATTAAATTATAAGAGACAGCTCACAAATTGCCCGGTGGTATAGGGGTCACGACAGGGACTTGGAGGAAGCTCTTCTTCCTCAATCTGGGAAACCTGGAGCACACCGCATTTGGAGGAGTAAGAGCTGCCACACTGGTCCCAGGGAGGACGGGAGGCCAGACATGATACCCAGGAAAAAAGCAAGGGGCAACATCATTCACAACACCTAGGGAATACTAATGACAAAGGTGTCCACTCCCAGGTCTGGGGACGCCTCCTCTAGAGACTTTCATGCCAGTCGGTTCCGACACCCATTCTGAGGCCTCATTTACATCCACTTGCTCTAGCTGGGGATGCCCTGGCCTACTGCCCAGCTGCCTGGTGAGAGGCCTGGCCTTCTGGGAACCCTGGGAGTCAATTTAATGTCCTTTAAGAATCTTACAGATAGGAAAATACTAGGCTAAGAGAAAGGAGGCAACTACAGGTACAGACTCTTCAAAGTCTTTCCAAGGCATAAGCACATGGGAGTGACCCCAGAACCAACCTGTGCAGGCTCCCCTGGGATGTCACCCTTGGTTCTGCAGGAAGCACTGCTCTAGAATGGACAGCGTGCTCCAAATCTTGTCCATATGCCTTGTGGCATCCCCAAGACTCTCCAAAGCAAGCTTCTGTGATGGCAGGGAGAGTAGGCATGGAGAGGTCCGGACTGTGACCATCCTGCTGTCGAGCTGCAGACATGGCCGTGCCGGGGCCCAGCTCGTTAAGGCTCCATGTTCCCTCCACTCCTTCCCACCAGGTGCTCAACTTATTCATCGCCTTGCTGCTGAATTCCTTCAGTGCCGACAACCTCACAGCCCCAGAGGAAGATGGTGAGGTGAACAACCTACAGGTGGCCCTGGCCCGCATCCAGGTGTTTGGCCGGCGTGCCAGGCAGTGGCTCCACAGATTCCTCAGGAGGCATTGCCTGCTCCCCCGACCCAAGGCCCAGCCACAGCTGCCTGTGAAACTGCCACTATCCAACTCCATATCTGGGAATTGCACTGCTGCCAAGGCTGGTCCTGGAGGGCTGTCCGCTCCCAGAGGCCCCAACGATGACTTAGTCAGCGGTTCTCTTGTGTGGGTCTCTGCACCCATCGCAGAGGGTGAATCTGACCTGGATGACTTGGAGGATGATGGAGAACGGGAGTCTCAGAGTGCGCCACAGGACGGCATCCCCAGAGGGCAGGTGAGAACTCTCTCCAAGGGGCCAGCCAACATGAGAAAGGGGAGGGACCTGAGCTTTGGGACTCTGAGCAGAAGGGAAATATCATGTTGCTGAGGCCTTCCCACATCCAGACTGGCACGGCTAGGCTGCAGGACTCCCAGATCCAATGAGGGGCTTAAACCATGCCATGCTCCCCAGAGTAGGTGGCATTTGCATGGAGTATGAGAGAGAGAGGAGCAAAATTGCCCCAGATGGGCCCCAAGGAAGCAGGGCAGCAAAGGAGCCCCTGGTCACTGTGCTCTATCATTGCAGTGCATGGGACCCATCCTTCGCACAGCTGTGGCTGCCCTGTTGGCTCTGGCCAGCCCAGACTGTGTGCGTGACAAGCTGATGAGATTCCTCCAAGAACAGGATGTTGCTCCGGAGCAAGGTCCTGATTATAACGTGACTCACACAGCTAGCTTTTCCCAACCAGCGATGCCGTGGGGAAACGACACGTGTTCCCCAGAGCTGAAGGCATATGGAAGCCTCTCAGTCAGACACATTTCACAGTACTTTGCACTGCTCTTCATTGCCTTAAGCAAGTTGACAAGCCCTCACTACCTCTTTCCTAAGTAACACAGAGCATACACTTTTGCACACCGCAGGGGGAGCCCCTAGGGACTTACAGGCCTCTGTAAGTGGCTTCAGACAGCTGACGGTTGAATCTGTGCTCTTCCATAACCTTCTTCCCCTGCAGCTGTCACTTCTTTTGTGTTCCAGCAGCTGCTACTATCAGCCTTGGCATTTCCGAAGCCTTTGTCCGGGTGGCAGCTGAGGGCAGGGCACCACCCTCCCAGAGTAAAAAAGCGGGAGCTCTGGCTCAATATCAGTAGTCGCTTTGGGTTTTAGGGGTGCTCCAGGCAACCAAGTTCACTGTCAATCTGACAGCTTGACAAGGAACACTGGGCACGGCTGGCATCAGCTGATCCAAGCAGCTTTGCAGAGCGTGTCATGAGCATTGACGCATGTAGTCATCAGAATAGTGAAGTGGATCTTGCCTTTCAATTTTGCAGATGAAGATCAGAAAGGATACATGGTTGGCCTGAGGTCACACAGCTTCCAAGTGGCAGGTTGGACCCAGATTTGTCTGCACACAGGTGTATGTCTGTGTGGCACCTGCTCACAGCAGGGCCTTGGCTCCAGTAATCCATGTTGTGTGAGAGCTCTTCCAACTCAGAAGTGATCTGCCAAGGGCGGGCCCAAGCAAGCATATGCAACTGGAACCCTCTCTCCCCAGCAGGAGCAGCTGCAGCACACCGGGGACAGCGAGGACACCCCTGCGCCCAGGAGTCCTGGCTCTGGAATGTCTTCCGCAGACCTGGCCTTGTACCTGGGTGAGAAATGGGACAACGAAGTAACTCTTCAGGCCCCTGCAGAGGTAGGTAGGTGAGCATCCCTGTGGGTGTCTAACAGACCTGCCAGTCCTGCCCCACGCCACAGAGGGTTGGGAGGTGGGGGCTACTTGGGGTGGTCTAGACCACACCCAACCACATGCCTCGTCTCTCTCAGCCTCTGGGGCAGCAGCACATGGCCAGCCTTTCCCACACCAGTGTCCCAGTTGTGCGTAGGCCCAGTGTGGGGATGGGAAGCAGCCACTGGGTGCCCTGGGCCAGCTCTGGGGCCTCTTTGAACCACAGCCCCTTCATCTAAGAAGCCAAACAACAATGCCTGTTGCATGGAACAGCTTTGAAGCCCAGAGCAGAGGTTAATGACAGCCAGGGAAGAAAAAAAAAAAAAACAAGAGAACCCACAGGTAAAGTTCACTGTTTCTCTAAGCCCCAAGACCAAAGCTGGAAGTGCTGGCACATGAGGAAGTCTCCCCCGGGGGGGCTCTTTGGTCCCTGTCCTTTTCCCTGCCCTGAGACAGGCTGGGGCTAGAGCAGGCAGCCTCCAAGTCACAGAGCAGGAAGATGTCGGATTGCAGAAGACCTTGCAAGAGGCAAAAACGGACTGTGTCATCTGGCTCATAAACCTTTGAAGACAACAAGCTGTTGGAAACAGGGTGTCCATAAAGAGCTAGTGACTGCCACACCACTGGGTTAAATTCAGGGATCTGGTTTGCCATTACACCCACGGAGACCTGAGCCTGAGCCTGCTGAGACAGGCCTGGGCTAGGTAAAGGTGAGGAAGCCACCGTCCACTCAACCCAGGAACCCCAGCTGCAGGATGTGTGCCCCGGGACAATGGGACAACAGGGACGGACCAAGAGTGGGCTGAGAGGGTGATAGCAGGGAGCTGGCCACTAGATCCCCAATGGGTGGGGGTTGACCTGCTCTTCACGGGGGTGCTACAGGTCCTCCCGGATGCCCACGCACTCTTTTGACTAGCACACCATGCTCCATGCCCTCAGCACACAACTCATGGGCACTGCTGTTGTTTTTGTGTTCTTGTCCCTGACCCTGATCAGGCAGGGAGGGGCCTGGCCGTGACAGCTGGGGACCCACCCCACCATTTGGCTCCATTAGTGCAGCTATCAGCTTCACTAATATGAGAGCAGCTTCAACTCCTAATTGAATTCGTCAGGAGACATTACAGGGCTAGACTGCCAGGAGGGCAGTAGCACCCCGGCAGCCTTGCTCCCTGATTAAATATTCAAGTCCAGCAAGAACCCAGAGTCGTCGTGGGTGTAATTACAGCGTCTCGGGCCATTGCTGGTGCTCCATCAGAGCACGGAGATCTCACTGTGCACAGCTGAGCCTGGTTCTGCAGACAGAGTTAGCATCCTGGAGGGATGTCCAGCAGGTGCAGCAGTGGGAACTGAGCCCTTGCTGCTCTTGCTGCACCTCATGGCTCCCGGACGGTGGAACCTACAGTGATCAGGTAGCATACAGAACACCCCCCAGGACTACTCATAGAGCTGAGTTTGCTGTCTTGGACTTTTGCCCCCTAGGGACTGGATGACACCAGCCCCTCGGAGGGCAGCACAGTAGACTGCCCAGACCCAGAAGAGATTCTGCGGAAGATCCCGGAGCTGGCAGATGAGCTGGAAGAGCCAGAGGATTGCTTCCCAGAAGGTAAATGGGGCAGCCACAGCCCCCTCCTAGGGGCAGAATCCAGCTCCACGGTTCCCCACTGGGTTCACAGGAAACAATAAACAGGGCCCCAGCTGCCCAATTCCTGGTCATAGAGCAGCAGCATCAAACACAGTTGCTGCAAGGTACAGGAGCCTGGTAATGCTCCCGGCTTCTCACACCACGTCAGACACAGCACATAGAAGCTAAGCCTTCCATGCTGCTCTCAGAAAGCATCCAATGAGTGCTAAATCAGCCCTTGGAACTAGAAAAGGGGAGCCACCCTCATAAACACCCCCACAGCTCCTGATCTGGACATAGAGGACCCACACGAGGACTATAATATATCCTTACCTGCCATCCCCTGTAGAACTCTCCAGAAGCAGAGCCTGTGTCCGATCCATCCTCATTCTCAACATTTAAAATAGCAATGTACATCTCATTCCCCAGGCATATTTGTGCCATGAATAAATAAATGGTTCACACTCTGAAGGGAATTACAGCCTCCATGATATATAATGGAAATAGAAAAAAAATAAAACCACGCTGTTGGTTCCACCTAACTCAGGCTGCATCCCAGCCATATGGCAACCCATCAGTCTGGCATAGGCCCCTCAGCTTGTCAGGGATCCTGGGATTTGAGGAGACAGTGGTAGAACAAAGAGGCTCTTGTCATCCGTGAGGAAGAAATGGCCAGGGAGGACAAGAAAAGAAATGCTTCATGGGAAGGACTGCTGGGTTGAAGAACCCCTTGAAAGGAAGTCCTCTTCTCCCATATTCTAAGAAGGAATTTTTCCCAAAGGGCAGTAATAGGTCATCCAGTACAGGAGTCTCTTTGTGGGGCTGTGGCAGAAATGGTTGTGTCTGTTGAATGAACTGCCAGCCATCGGCAACCTCTCCCTACAGCCTGCCTTCGCCACTGTCCCTGCTGCAAGGTGAACGTTGCCAAGTTCCCCTGGTCCGTGGGTTGGCAGATGCGCAAGACCTGCTACCGCATCGTGGAGCACAGCTGGTTTGAGACCTTCATCATCTTCATGATCCTGCTCAGCAGTGGAGCACTGGTAAGGGAGGGGCTGCCCCAAAGCCCTCCATGAACAGGGTCTTTCACCACCCAGGGACCCAGGCTCTGTGGAGGGAGAGCCACAGCTGAGTATGAGGGATCCAAGTACAGCAGGTGTTCCGGGTGCCCATGCCAGAGTTTGCTAACCCCAGCTCCTGGGCATCTCAGGTTAGTGTGTGCTTTCGACTTCAGGGCTGGAGAAACTAAGACCCGAGAGCCTCCAGAGGCCTGTCCAAGGGCAGTCAGCGTTTCGGTGTCAAAACCAAACTTTGCCTTCATTTGACTCCAAAGTCCCTGGCTTCCTGCCCTCTGACTCCCCCCAGCCCACCCCAACACACTGATCTGCTCTGAAATCACAAGACAAAGAAGACCACCCTTCCTTGCCTCATTAACCCACCTGCAAAGGCTCCCCTTTCTCCTTCACAGCTTGCAGGAAATCAGCATGAAAGTACCTCCCCAAATGCAGTTGCTCCTTGAGGGGTGTGCTGGGAACACAGGCAATTTGGCACAGTTGTTGAAAGACTGCAGTCCAGTCCGAAGTGCCTGAGTTCAAGTCCCAGCTTCACCCCTGACCCTGGCTACCTGATAATACACAGATGATGCCACCAAGAGTTGCAGTCCTGCCACGCAGATGACAGACCCTGACAGAGCTTCAGCCTAGCCTGGCCTTGGGTACTGCAGACACTTGGAAAGTGAATCAATAAATAGTAGTTATTTCTCTCTCTCTCTCTCTCTCTCTCTCTCTCCCCTTGGAACATTTCTAAACAAATCCTTACCTGTGGAGGTTATTAAGAGATAGATTCTGATGAGAAACATCTATGGCAGGACCTGAGAATATGCACCCCCAGTGAGTTCCAGCACAGCTGATGCTGCAAGCTGTGAGCCACAGGTGGAGTAAAGGGTGTTAAGTGGAGGGAGATGGAGACACTGAAAGCCAGGCTGGGAGGAGCCAGGAAGGAAACTCCCCCTCCGCGGCGTAGCTTAGGCTCGCTGCCCGGCCTCAGTACTCATCCCACTGGGCACTGAACGGGGACTCACCTCACCATCCATATATACCCACATGCTGCTGAATACGGTCTCCCAAATATCAAATATCTGGGCACTCACTTCAGTGCCCCCCCGTGTCCTCAGTGGGGGAGGAGCACAGCTACTCCAGGTGTGGCCTCAACTCCTTCCACCAAGGAACACAAACTGAGAAGTGGGAAGAAGGCTGGGGTAGATAACACCAAAGCGGGGGAGGGGAATGGTGGGTGTCAAGGCAGCACCCGTCCAGCATCCCAGGGATCACAGGGTCAGGAAACACCCATTGCTCTGGACAAGGCTCAGATGGCTCACTTGGCCTGCATGACACCTGCCTGACACCTGCTGCCTCTCCTGGCGGGCCAATTCCATGCTGTGGTCCTGAGGGCTTCCTCCCCATCTTACCTAGCTCTTGTCTTCCCCGGTCCTTCTCTCTCTCCCGTATTCTCTCCTCCACCTGCCCTTGCTCCTCCTCCCTCTGCTGCCCCTCTCGTCTCCCAGAACAGATCCTGCAGCACCCCCCCCCATCTCCATCCCCACAGCACCACACAGCCATACACCAAATTTTGTCTTTCTTCTGCTTTTGCCTCGAGTGCTTTTAAAAATAACATAAGTCTAGCTTTGACAAAGAAAGGAAACTTGGAAATTAAAGCAAAGGGCAAAGAAAAAAAAAACTCATCCATTTCCTGTCACCCAAAAGAAACTTTCACTTTGAAACCTTTAGGTATACCTCCTTCCCAGCTCTCACACATATCACTAATTAAAAAATAATAATAAGACCTGAAGCTAACTCTGTGGCACAGTGAGTTAACTCTACCCTGCAGTGCCAGCATCCCATATGGACCCTGGTTCAAGTCCCAGCTGCTCCACTTCCCATCCAGCTCCCTGTTAATGTGCTGGGAAAATGGTGGAGGATGGTTCAAGCGCTTGAGTTCCTGCACACATGTGGGAGATCCTGACATGGCTTCTGGAGCCTGTCTTACACCTGCCCAAGTCCCAGCCAGTGCAACAAAACCCTACCCATGCATTTGGTCATTTCTCAGTAAATTACTTTCCCAAGTATGTTCAGACTACTCCACGGAACGGGTTGCAATCAGGAACGTTTCCTGATATGCTCAACCAATCTCTGTGCTTGTGTGTCCCCCGCCTGGAGCGTCCTTCGTAAGAGTGTCCTTAAGTAAGAATGGACTTACATAATCACCTTGGAGACAAGCACTGGTCCCCAGTGCAGACTGGCAGCCAGGTACCCAGCGCAAAGGCAGAAGAGGAGGAGCATGCCTGGGAAGGAGCTGAGAGACAACCAAAGCCCAGGGCAAAGGGGTGCCCAACCACCACAGGGCCCTAACTACCATTGTGTAATATCTGGGTGAGTGCTACCGCATGCAGTGTCGTCTCAGGATGGGCAGCCCAGCATCCTGCTCCTGACACTGAAATGACTTCCTTCCCGCCAGTTGTCCACAGTGCAGCACCAGCAGGGCAGGTTCCCAACTCCTCCTTTTCCTTGATTAATATTTGTTTTCCTTGAAAGGCAGAGAGGGAGAGATAGTCTGGAGCCCAGAGCTCCCTCGGTGTCCGCTACGTGGGTGGCAGGGGCCCCAAGCACTCACACCATCTTCTACTGCCTTCCCCAAGCGCATCAGCTGGGAGCGAGGTGAGAGGTGCGGTGCTGCAGCCAGCACAGAAGGGCTGCAGGTGTCGGGGACCCTCCCCCACTCTTGGTTCTCCTCTCTCAGTCTGATGAAGGGAAAACAGCATCTTCTTTAAATCTGACAAGAGTTTCCCTGAGTGCAGGTGCAACAGAACGTTTTCGTTCACGGGCTTGGTGCAGTTCTTGCCCTCGTTCCTGTAAACTACTTGCAAACATCACGTGATGCCTTTATTTTTAGACCACAGCTCTGTGCAGTTCCCTATGGCTCACTCCCAAAACCCAGCCAGGAAGCTTTCCCTTCTTGCCTACACCAACAGGACTGCCGTACCCCCAGCTCTGAGGCCATCACAGCCCTTGATCTCTCACTACTGTGCCTCAACCACTGCCCCAACCTGACTTCCCACAGCACTGAGAATGGGATGAACCCTCCACGTTGGCCATGGGCTCACTCCCAGAGCTGTAGGCATCACTGGTTGCAGCCTTCCCTCCCCGCGGGGGTCTCCAGGGGCAGCCTGCCATCCTACACCCTTCGTCCCTTGCAGGCCTTTGAAGACTGTTACCTGGACCAGAAGCCCACAGTGCAGGCCCTGCTGGAGTACACAGACAGGGTATTCACCTTTGTCTTTGTGCTGGAGATGCTGCTCAAGTGGGTGGCGTACGGCTTCAAGAAGTACTTCACCAACGCCTGGTGCTGGCTGGACTTCCTCATCGTGGCCGTGAGTGGCCCTGGTGGGGGGAGGGGGGAGCTGGGAAGATGGGGGCGTTACCTCTGACTCCTGGCTATGACTAATGCAAATTCAGCTGAGACCCAGCCTGCCAGGGAGAGGCCACGAGTGCTGAGTAAGGAGTCCGACAAGAACCCTGCACACCTGTACAGGTGAGGGGCAAACAGCTCTGAGCATCCCCAAGGGAGCCCTCAGTTCTTAGGCCTGCATCCAGAAAGGCCACTAGACTAGCTCATGTTTTCATGTCCTAATCAAGATGACAGGTGAGCCCTTGGGGATCTGTTGATTCAGGGGAGGTCTGAGCTGCAAGCAACTGCGCACCTGCTGACTCTGGCCTTCAGCCCTGGCTGTACCATAGAATCACCTGGAACATCAACTCCCAGAGATTCTGACCTGACTGGTCTTGGAGGCAGGGAGGTTTGTGTACCTAGTCAAAGCTCCAAGACATTTCTGGGTGCAGTCATGGCCAAGGACCACAGAGTTCATTTCACAGGCTCCTCCCTCCCCAGGGATGCTGGAAGGGAGAGTGGGTCCCTTCTGGAGATGAGGAGTTCAAGTGGCCACAGGCCCCCTGCACTCGGGAATTCACCACGTGCCTCCCACGTGTGTGATTCCCTCACCCTCAGCCCCAGCTCTGGTCCCTTTTCCCCCTTCTCCCCATGGGCCACTGCTCTCGAGTCCCCAAGGAGCCTCTTGGTTCTCTGAGGACTTCTGCAGGCGTGTTCTGTGTCTGTCTCTGCCACCTCCCACTCCCACAGCCACTGGCAGCAAGACATGTGCTTTCAGAGGTGTAGGAAATGTGTCTCTATGTGACACTCACCTCCAAAGCTGGATAGAGTCCAGGACAGAACATTCTGTCTCTGTTGGCGGGGTCCCCGCAGCAGGCCCATGCCTTTCCATCTCTGCTGATACCATTGCTCCAGCCATAGCCAGTCACTGCACTGCAGGGATCGGCTGGGAGGCCTTCAGTCTGAGTCACAGGTGATCACTTTGTGCACAGCAAATAAGATTTGAGAAGTGAAGACGAGATGCTCTGGCTGCCACTTGCTTCTTTAGGGCAGCCACCTATGCCATGTCAGTCTACTTCCAGTTCTCCCACTTGTTCCGTCCATCTTCCTGATGAATCTTCCTTCCAACACCCATCCTTCTTCCAAACATCCCTCCTTTCATCTACCAAGCCATTCACCTTTCTTCTTCCTTCTTGCCAAGCTTCCATCTCTACATTCTCCATATGCCCTTTTCCATGAGCTGACTCCTTCCATCTGTCTGGTGCCCTTCTCCTTTCCTGCCTCCCTTCTGCCCACACATTTATCCACGGAAATGTGTGTCTTCCTGTATTTGAATTCATGCTTTTGTCCAACTCTGCAGTCGTCTGCCTGTCTACTCACCCATTCACGCAACTTCCATCCAAGTATTGTATTTATTCATCTTCCTGCCCATTCATTCTTCCATGTTTCCAGCCTTCCTTTAGCCCTCCCATTTATTCTTCCTTTCACACTTACGCATTCATTCATCACCTTCACTTTCATTGCTCCACCCATCCATCCATTCATCTTGTCAAGCCTTTCCTGTCATTCACTAATTCCTTTCACTTGTCTCTTCTCTCCAATTCTCTGTTTCCCCCTTCTCACACCTGCCCTGCCATCCCTCCTTCCCCATCCATTCATCCTGCTCATCCAGTAATTTTCCCCTGCTTCTATGCTTTTTCCTTTCCTTCATTTCTTTCTTCCCTTCCTTCTAGTCAACTACCTGTCTTACCCATCCTCTAAGTAATCTTCTACCCAGTCAACATTCCCACTTTGCTTCTTGCTTCCTTCAGTTCACCACAACATGCTTGTATATTTTCTTCCATTTTCCAAAACTATATTAAACTGCAGAACGAGAGTGTCTTCTGAATTGCTCTGGGAAAGACAGAAGGAATAGTCCCTCTGTTTAGGAGTTTACACTTCACTCTTCCAGCAAATCAGGTACTTGGGAAAAATAATGTTACAGTGGTGGAAGAGTGTAACGGTCACTTCTGGAGACATTCAGTGTCTTAGGGACACACAGACATAGCCTTCTCCCAATGGAGCAGTTTAAGAAGGCTTCGCTTAGGAGGTGGTGATAGATTGTAACACGGAGGTGCAACATGGACAAAGGAAGGCAGGTCCTCCATGGAGGGTGACCCTGAGCAAAGGTATGGATGCAGGTGTGATCATGGAGCAGTACATTGGATCAAACATGGGTGAAGAATGAATGAGAAAGTAAATGCCAGCTATACTATGCAGGCTAAGAAGTCTGGAGCTTGTCCTGAGGGCGAAGTGCTAGTGCAGGTTGGGAAGAAGAATGTGTATGACCGTGATCAGATTCACAGTGGAGAATGGTGAGTCGGATGGTGAGCAGAGGTGGCACCGGACATGGCTGAGTTGGCCTTGTGGAGACGGGCCAGCCCCTGTCTGCCCAACTGCACACAGAGCAGGCTACCCCATGAGACTGAACTAGAAATAGCATGAAACCGGCCCCTTGCCTCCCTTCCCTTGGCTTTCCAGAGAGCTTGTGTCCGGAGCTGCTCATTTCCAGATCAGATCTTCATCCTTTGCACTGTTTGAGGCTCCACACCCCAGGGCACAGCTCTCACTTCCTGAAGTGCCAGTGAGCATCTCTCCAGCTAGCTGCCAGGATAAGCTATGTCTGAATTCGGCTCATGATTCATGTACAGCCATCCTCAGGCTTAAGACTACATACACAGTGTTCCCCTGTCACTTGATAAGTCCCAAGCCTGACTGAGAATTGTCTCCTGCCTGTTTGAGTCCTCTGCAGTCCTTGGCCCACCACTGACAGACCATGAGGGCTCAGTCTTGGTATTTCCAGTCTCAACCAAACCTGGATCCCATAGACCTGTGCTGGTCCCTCCTACTGAGAAATGCAGAGCTGGGAAGGCATTGGAGGCAGAGTCTGACAACCTTTTTTTACAAAGAGTGAAAGTCCATGGACTAGCAGGACACTGCCTAAGCCCACAAAAAATTAGGGATCAAGGGAACCCCCACCCAGGTCAGAGCAGGATTCTTTCCATCCCACTTCTTGAACAAATACTACTGAGACCAATTTTATGTCCCTCAAAGTAAACTTCAGTTCGCTTCTCCAAAGGGACCCAGCCTCTCCAAGACTCTCCAAGTTTCTGAAAGTCACAGTCTCAAGGGTGTTAGGGCCTGGTTGGGATCCCTAGAGGGGAAAGAAAGAATAGACTTAATGCACGGGGAGCTTGGTCCCCAAACTCACCAGGTGATGACAGCATGAATGACTGAGTCTTTCCTGCCCAAGAGTTCAGATAAGTGACCAAAGAGATCATCCCTCAAAGGGTGGGGCCTGGACCCTTTGCTGACCTCTCAGTGGAGTTCCAGAGAAGGTGGAAGCCATGATGGCTTAGGCAGAGCAGGGGGCAGAGAGACAGGTTAGACTTCCTGCCTTCTGCCTCCTGCCCCCGGGCCTGGCTTTCTGTGGCTATGCTGACATCCGCTTGTGCTCTCTGCTTACACTCAGATATCACTGACAAGCCTTACGGCAAAGATTCTGGAATATTCTGACATGGCGCCTATCAAGGCTCTCCGGACACTGCGTGCCCTGCGGCCACTCCGGGCCCTGTCTCGGTTTGAAGGCATGCGGGTAAGACCCCTCTCTCTCTCAGAGCTTTGGAGCCCACACTCGTTTGTGTGGCTCTGCACACTGCTGACCCCAAGCTCTGGGCCCCACTGGTAAAGGCTGCTGGACCTTGTGGCTTCACTTGCTGCTCCAACACAGGTGTCACTGCACAACCCAACTCCACTGTTGCCTTCCAGGTCTTCCCTTGTCACCCATAAATATTACACCCCCAAATCTCAGGCCTCATCCCTGCTGACCCCGGGGGAGGTGATCCGCTTGCATGCCCTCCAAGCACCCCAGCTCTGCCTCTTGTTCTTACTTTGAGTATCTCCAGCCCCTCTGTGCTGTCACGACCCCTAGATCTTTCCTGGTTTGCTTTGTTTAAGTGTAGTAACTTCATCAGCTCAGCACCACCCATCTGAGAGCCCACTCTCTTAGCTGGCCCCATGGGTTTCCTCCCTTCCCTTACCTCTTTGCTTACTCAGGCTCTCTCTGCCTGCTTCAGGCTGGATCTCCCAGAGCAAAAAAAATGAGATTTCACTTTGCTCCTCCACCTTTGACTCAAGGCAGAGCTGCAAAAACAAAAGGGCTTTTGAAATTGATTGCACCTTTAGGAACATTTGAAGCTAAAGACTGAGGCAGCTTGATTTTTGTATTTTGTATTTTGTTTTGCAGGCAGGTGTTGGCTGCCTTACAAATGAGCAAGTTGATGAATATGGATTTAGAGGCGTACTTGACACGACATTGTGTTTGTTGTATTCAAAGGGTATAAAGCAAGGTCCTAGAAGATTCTGTGTGCAAGCATATATGCACACGTGTACACACACACACACACACACACACACACACACACACACACACACCACAAATGAATAGTATGTGTGTGCTTATGAACTCCTCAGTAGTCTCAGTGCTGAGAAAGATGCTAACACATGCCCTGGGTGAGGTTTGGTGGGAGAAGATCTGAACCTGAGCTAGAATCATTACACTAATGGACATATTTCTCCTGCTGATTGCAAAGCCCACCAGCTCTGGAGGCACAGAAATAAGTGGAAGTCCGCAGGAGGGGTGCCCTAGGCCCTTTTCTGTTTGTCACCAGGTGGTGGTAGATGCCCTGCTGGGCGCCATCCCGTCCATCATGAACGTCCTGCTCGTCTGCCTCATCTTCTGGCTCATCTTCAGCATCATGGGCGTGAACCTCTTCGCGGGGAAGTTTTGGAAATGCATCGACTCTAGCAATAAAACATTTGCCACGGTGCCTTTGTCCATTGTGGAGAACAAAAGCGAATGTGGGATGCAAAATTCCTCTGGCACGTATTTCTGGGTCAATGTGAAAGTCAACTTCGATAATGTTGCCATGGGCTACCTCGCACTCCTCCAAGTGGTGAGTCAGCTGTGCTACCAAAGGTGCTGCTTCCTCCAGCCACTGCGGGGAGAGGGGGTGCCTCTCAGAAAATACACTCACTCTCATTCTCTCTCTCTCTCTCTCTCTCTCTCTCTCTCTGTCTCAAAGGAGGCTTTGCAGGGCTGGGAGGGAGCTAAGGTCAGTTCCACTGACTACAAAGGGAGGTTAGAGTGTGATCTCACAGTAGGGCAGTCAGATCAGCGTTGGATAACAGGGCAAAGGGCTGGACCTGCTATGCAGCTGTGTCATGGGATGACTCAGAGAATGCTACCTGTACAGAAGAAAAGTGATGTAGCCAAGTGTTTAGGCTGCCATGCCACCTCAGCTCTTAGACAGCAATGAATTATGGTTTTTTGTGGGGCTGGGATTGTTTCTTTTATGAGACAGTTCCATAGACTCAGGGTTTTTCCCTCTTCTTCCCCAATTCTCTCCCCCCAACTGATTTCCCCTATGTTATTATATAGTATAATATAGTCCTTCAAAACAGTCATAAGAAACTATGGTACATCTACCCTATGGAATACTACTTGACCATTGAAAAGAATGAAATTCTACCAAATGCAACCAAATGTCTCCAAATGCAACCAAGTGTCTCAACTAGAGACCATTATACTCAGTGAAATCAGTCAATCCCAAAAGGACAACTACCGTGTGTTCTCTCTGATATAAGGCAGCCTTCATGCAAAATACAAGATCAATAGATCTAGAGGTAAACTGCGTAATAGAGACTATCATATCAAGAAATGAAGATTAGAATTATGTTTAAAATGAAGATTAGAAATATGCTTAAAAGCAGGTATATTCCAACGTTATATAAGGCTGAGGATGACACTCAAATACGTTTGTATGATCACATTTTTTATGATCCTCATCCCTCACTTTCATCCCACTTATTCATCCAGTCCTCTCTTTGTTCCAATGTTGTCTCCACTTACTGTTCATTTGTCATCCGATTACCAGGAAGTCTTGAATTCCATCATCTGTTCATGCATTCACTCAAAAAATAATGGCATGTCAGGCACTGTGCTTTGTCTTAGGAGAGTCAGAACTGCATCCAAGGGCTGAGATTCTACAAGGAAAGCATGGATGAATTAAAGCAGCCCATGAGGTGCTCTGACAGGCTTCAAAGTGCAAGACCAGAGATAGTTTCCATGCCCTGCACAAGCTAGCAGACACACTTATTTTTAAGAACTCAAGAACACTAAGCTAGAGAACAGAGTATGGATGTCATCCATTGCAACTTCCTCATCTTTCAGACAGGGAGACATCCATTTTGCTGTCCTGTGCATGAAGCAGTTAAGTAAGAGTCCCAAGATAAGGAAAGTTGATCAAGGTCATATGGTAGCTTTGTGGCCATTGATCCTGGAGTCGGACATCTAGTCCGTACACCATCGTGCAAGTCTCCATGTCTGTCTTTTTGTAAGTGTTATTTATTTGAAAGACAGAGACAGACAGACACACAGAGACAGATCTTGGATCTTCTGGTCCCTTCACTAAGAGCCAGGCTGAAGACAGGAACCTGGGCTTCCATCTAGGTCTCCCATGTTGGTGGAAGGGACCCAAGTACTTGGGCCTAGGTACATTAGTAGGAATCTGGATTCGAATCAGAGCAGCTGAAATTCATATTGGTGCTCTGTTACAAATGCCAGCCTCCCAAGCGGTGATGTAACCCACAGCATTCAACAATATTGTTAACCTCCATGTCTTTCAAGAAGACATTTGCTTTCTGAAAGAGTCATCTGTGGCTCTCCCAGCCATCTGCTCCTCAAGATACCTCAGCTAGGGGAGGGTCAGGGGAAGCAGATGGACAGTCACTGATGGGGCCCTGATCCTTGTTCCTAGGCAACCTTTAAAGGCTGGATGGACATCATGTATGCAGCTGTCGATTCCCGAAATGTGAGTCCATGCCCGCTATACCTGCAGCTTTTTTCTGTCCCTGTGCCTCCCACACCAGTCTGCCCCTTGCCAAGAGTCAGACCTGGCCTGAATGCTAGAGCAGGTGATGGCCCAGAAGCCTCACACCATCCCTCTGGTTCCATTCCAGGTGCCCAAGCCTGCCTATCCAGCCACTCCCTTCCCATACATACCTCTCTGCTCACCCCAGTGGGAATCAGGCATTGGACAAGACTGAAAGGGCAATGTGTGTAGAGGCATTCCATGGTCGATGGCTGCAGAAAGGATGGGGGCAGAAATAAGAGGGCATTGGAAAGAAGGCAGAATTTGGTGACTCTTATGAGAGCCAGGTTAGAGGAGATGGTTGGAAAGATTTGAGATCCTCATGGGCAACCCTCATGGACAAGTTAAGGAAACCTATAGGAAATGCCCAGAGCCCTGCCTGTCAGGGATACAAGGCTGAGCTATGGCCTTCACAACTCCCCGCTTCCCCTGCCACTCCATTGGCCTTTCTCCGTGCCTGTTGCTTCTCCCCTGTTCCCTCATTCCAGGTCCCCATTCCTCCCCACCAGCTCACCTCCCAAAAACATTGCTAGCATTCAAGTCCTTGCCTCAGGGTGGCATGTGGTCACCCACCCCTGGTCACTTCCTCCTCCTTGTCTGCTCCCAGATTGACTGTCAACCCAAGTGGGAGGAGAATTTGTACATGTACCTGTACTTTGTCGTCTTCATCATTTTCGGTGGCTTCTTCACCCTGAATCTCTTTGTCGGGGTCATCATTGACAACTTCAATCAACAGAAAAAAAAGATGAGTGGAGTGGGACGATGGGGGGTGGTGACAGGGGATGGTTCTGCCATGACCGTGAATACACCAACACCACTCATGGCCACTGGCATTTGGCCCAGAACCCTGCTTTGGCCTTTTACAATAATGCCAGCCTGCAGGCCTTGGTCAGGCTGTCATCCTTGTCTACTACTGGGACACTTACATTCCTGTTCTAGTCACTGAACTCCAGGTCCCTATCCTCCATCCCTCAGTGACCTCAGTGCTCCTGCTGAAATAGGTGTGACTCTATACGCAGTACCTGCAGGGGAAGAAGGGTCTCCAGCACCGCTTTGGTTTGACGTCCTGACTCCCACCATAGTGGCCAACTGTATCTGTCCGCATCCTGAGAACTGGCCAGAATTCTCAGCATGCCTGCACTGAAGCTTCTGCTTCAGAACAGGAGGTCTCAGTCATGGAATTTTCCAGCACCAGATTCAGGGCTACCCTCTTCTTTTTCCCATGTTCCCTTCTTCCCAGGAAACCCTTCGTATGTTAAACTCATCTTAAAATCCCCTCCTGAGCCCCACAGCACTCAACACGCATCCTCAGGGTTTGCAATGAGTCCCATTTCCAAGCCCTCCTTGACTCTCTGTATGCAGGAAGTATCTCTGGGTTTCTGAAGAACAGAAACCAGCTTGGTTTCAGGGACTCCCAACAGGGAAGTCCAGTTGGACCCAGTTGCATAATTGTGCCACCGCTTAAGACACCCAAGCTCCTTGCCCGTGAGCTTGGCGTGTCTTTGCTCTGGGATAGTCCTTTCCCTCCAGTGTGTTCTGAGCCTCGTGTCCCTGGGGAGTCTTCTGCTGTGGTAATGACAGCATAATGGGCCTCTTCTGCACTTAGGGGGCCAGGACATCTTCATGACAGAGGAGCAGAAGAAGTACTACAATGCCATGAAGAAGCTGGGCTCCAAAAAGCCCCAGAAGCCCATCCCCCGGCCCCTGGTGAGTCCCAGTGCTTCCCTCTAAAGATGCATGTGTTTGTGAATCCAATCGGGTCACTGGTCCTGGGCTGGGTGGAGCCTGGCCAGAGCATTCTGCACAGGAGAGGAACTGGGTGGAGTCTGGAGACTGAGAGTGATGAGAGCTCACGGGCTCCAGGATCGGGACGTTGGAAGCAAGCAACTCTGGTCTTCTAGGGGTATATGTAGCTCAAACAGGTGTGACAAGTGAGCCTGAGAAAGGACAGAGTCCCCACAACGAATTTAGGGTTCAGGCACATACACACAACTCCTCACTTCTGGTGAAGCTCAGGTTCGACATTGTACTCCATCCGTAACAGAAGTAAAGGATTCCACCACACTAGAAGACTTATTCTGGAGTATTCTCTTTTTTTAAGATTTATTTTTATGCAAAGTCAGATGTACAGAGAGGAGGAAAGACAGAGAGGAAGATCTTCTGTCCAATGATTCACTCCCCAAGTGGCTGCAACGGCCAGGTCATAGGCAGGAACCGAGAATTCTGTGTCTCTCTCACAGCTGGCATGAACCCCAGAGCTTGGGTCACATCTGCTGCCTCCTAGATGAATTAGCAGGAAACTGGATCAAAGCGTAGAGTAGCAGGACTAACTAGGGAACATAGGCATTCCAAATGGTAGCCGGGCTCACTGTAACCACCCAAGACAGACTTCAGATTCATCTAGCAGAACGCAACCCTTCCAGATGGCTGCTTTGGGTCATCCCAAAGACTCTGACTCATCCCTTCCCATCCTTTCTTTTCTCAGAACAAGTACCAGAGCTTTATCTTTGACATCGTAACCAAGCAAGCTTTTGACATCGCCATCATGGTCCTCATTTGTCTCAATATGGTCACCATGATGGTGGAGACTGACAATCAGAGTGAAGAGAAGACCCAGGTCCTCAGCAGAATCAACCAGTTCTTCGTGGCCGTCTTCACGGCCGAGTGCGTCTTGAAGATGTTCGCCCTCAGGCATTACTACTTCACTTTCGGCTGGAATGTGTTTGACTTCATCGTGGTGATCCTCTCCATTGGAAGTAAGTGGGTGGCCAGCAAATAGGGGTCGGGGGTAGTGGTGGATGGCAATCCGGTCCCTGCCTAGTGTTGGTTGGGCTGTTATGTGAAAACCAAGATGATTTTGTGAGATAGGGTATTTGTGACCTTCCAGAAGCAGTAGTTTGAGGATGCCCTTAGGCTGCTCTCTCACTGTTCTTGAGTCTTTGGGAACACCTGCTAGGGACACAGCCCGAGAACCTCAGACTGGAAGGTCTTCCCTCACCTTAATCACCTTCAAAGTAGGTGGTGAGTGTTATAATATGTGATAATATGTGATAAGTGATGAGTTACCAAAGCCTTCCTGTGTAAATAAAGGTGGCCTGCCCACAGAGTAAGAAGCAGACAAGAGGAGCTTGCTCAAAGGTGCCCCCAGGGTTAGGTGATCGCTCACAGAGGGTGTGTGAGCAGTGAAAAAGTCAGAGCTGAAGACTCATGAGGCCCTGGCAAGGGGCAAGGGGCAAGGTGCATTTCTTGTCATATCCAGCATTTGGGACGCACTGGTGCTCTGAGTAGCAGTCTGGAGCTAACATGGGGAGTGAGACCGCCAAACCTGAGTACTCTGAGTTCTCAGTGCTTGGCTGTGCTCCAGGAGGTGTCAGCATCCTCCCTGTATGTATTTAAAGTATATCCTCAGACACTAAGACAGCCATATGGGGCGCAGCATTTGGGAGGGGCAGAACTGGACAGGAACCAGCAGCCTCCTGTGCACAACCAAAAAGACAGCCACTCAATTGCTCATGTTTCAGCTAAAGGATAAGAAACTGCATCCCAGCTCACAGGCTTCACCTTGCATTGTAAGCCTGCCCACTTTCCATGGCACGATGCAACTGCAGATTTCACTCCCCATCGATTCGCTATCAAGAGCTAATAGTGTCTAAATACAACGTGGTGACATCTAATCATGCTCACCACTGTGATGCTGAGACCAAACCTTGGGCCATATTCGTTTGTTAGTGTGTTCTACATTTGGATTTTTTTTTTCCTTTGTTTTGTTATTGCTGCTGAGTCTTCTTTTTTAAGCCGTTCTATTGAGATACACTGACATACAAAAATCTGTGTCTATTGAATGTGTATAATTTGTGTTTGGAGATAAGTATATACCATCAAGCCATCACCACAATCAATGCCACAAATATGTCCATCGCCATAGAAATTCCCTCTTGCTCAATTTACTTATTGACTTATATGAAATTCTCAGAACACTTTAAATAAAATCTGGTCTCTGGACCCCCATTCCTGCTAATATGTACCCTGGGACATAGCAGTGATAATCGAAGCTATTGGGTTCCTGCCATCCATCCACATAGGAGACCTGGCTTCAGGCAGATCATTCTCAGCTTCTGCGAACACTTGAACAATGAACCAGTAGACAGCAGCTCTCGCTCTGTTTCTGTCTTTTTCCTTCTCTCTGACTTTAAAATTTAAAAACCTGTCTTCCAAATAAATAAATAAATAAATAAATCTTTCTATTACAAAAAAGCGGGGGGAGGCTCATTGGGCCCAGCGCGATAGTGTAATGGTTAAGGTCCTCACCTTGAACGTGCCGGGATCCCATATGGGCACCGGTTCTAATCCCAGCAGCTCCACTTCCTATCCAGCTCCCTGCTTGTGGCCTGGGAAAGCAGTAGAGGATGGCCCAAAGTCTTGGGACCCTGCACCTGCATGGGAGACCCAGAAAGAAGCTCCTGGCTCCTGGCTTCAGATTGGCTCAGCTGCAGGCATTGAGGCCACTTGGGGAGTGAATTATTGGACAGAAGATCTTCCTCTCTGTACATCCGCCTTTCCAATAAAATAAATAAATAAATAAAAGGAGGGGGCCCATTTCCAACCCTAACATAGACCTCCAATGCAGTTGGAAATGAAAGAAATAAATGAAAGCCATTATACAGACATCTGGCCATCCAAAACCATTCTGCTTTGGCTGTCAGCAAGTTGTTGAATCCTTAGACCCTTGTAATTAATACCAGGCTGTGTACAATTATCCAGGGGACCCTATGCCAGAAACTGAGTCAGTCTTCACAGTAGGAGACAGAGAGATAAGTTAAAGTAGGTGCTGGCATTCCTTGAGCACCAGACCTGGCTTCAGAAAATGGCTGCGATGTCTAAGAGCAGTCTGTGACACAATGCCAGCAGACAGAGGACTGGGGGCATGTGATGGATGATACAGTCACTTGTACATGAGCTGGGCTATAGCAGGTGGACTTGAGAAAATAATACTGTGAGCGGGGGCAGATAAGAACATGGTTGGAAAAGGAAGACTTCCTGGTGGGAAAGCAGATCATTGCATTGGCATTTACTGAGCCCACTTTGGGCAGCCACACTTCCCAGGCTTGGAAAGTCCAAAATCCATGAGAGTGTTTAAGTACGGTCCTTGCCAAACAGAGCTAAGGGAGTATGCCTGCAGCCAACTTTGTCAGGGCCAGTGGTTAGTGATAGAAAGTGCTCTAAATTGATCCCCCACCCCCTCCTTCTCTTGTAAGGTCAGCTGCTTTCTACAATCCTGCATTCGGTTGAAAGTCAAAGTTTCTTCTCCCCGACATTGCTCCGAGTCATTCGCCTGGCACGCATCGGCCGCATCCTCAGGCTGATCCGTGCGGCCAAGGGCATCCGCACCCTGCTCTTCGCCCTCATGATGTCCCTGCCTGCCCTCTTCAACATCGGCCTGCTGCTCTTCCTGGTCATGTTCATCTACTCCATCTTCGGCATGGCCACATTTCCCCATGTGAGAGAGGAGGCCGGCATCGACGACATGTTCAACTTCAAGACCTTCGCCAACAGCATGCTGTGCCTCTTCCAGATCACCACATCAGCCGGCTGGGATGGCCTCCTCAGCCCCATCCTCAACACGGGACCCCCTTACTGCGACCCCAACCAACCCAACAACAGTGACTCTGGGGGGGACTGCGGGAACCCAGCTGTAGGCATCATCTTCTTCACTACTTACATCATCATCTCTTTCCTCATCGTGGTCAACATGTACATTGCAGTGATCCTGGAGAACTTCAATGTGGCCACTGAGGAGAGCACGGAGCCCCTGAGCGAGGACGACTTCGACATGTTCTATGAGACCTGGGAGAAGTTCGATCCTCAAGCCACACAGTTCATCGACTACTCAGCCCTCTCAAATTTTGCAGACTGTCTTTCTGGCCCCCTGCGAATCCCAAAACCTAACCAGAATATCTTAATGCAGATGGACTTGCCCTTGGTGCCCGGGGACAAGATCCACTGCCTGGACATTCTTTTTGCCTTCACCAAAAATGTACTGGGAGATTCTGGAGATCTGGATTCTCTGAAAGCAAGTATGGAAGAAAAGTTTATGGCAACAAATCTTTCCAAAGCTTCCTATGAGCCAATAGCCACCACCCTCCGGTGGAAGCAAGAAGATGTCTCAGCCACTGTCATTCAAAAAGCCTATCGGAGCTACATACGGCACCGTGCCTTGAACCTGTCTAATGTCCCAGGGGTACCCAGGGCTGATGTGGACGCTGGGCCCCTCCCAGGTGAAGGCATTGTTGTGTTTGTGACTGATGAAGATGGTGTGCTTCCAGACAAATCCGAGACTGCATCTGCCACATCTTTCCCACCGTCCTATGATAGTGTCACTAGAGGCCTCAGTGAGTCAGTCAACAGGAGCTCTTCCAGCTCATTGCAAAATGAAGATGAAGTCACCAGTCATGAAGTGACTGCCCCTGGGCCCTAGCAAGGATGCTCCAGTATGGACATACCCAGTTCTAATAGCTCTCTCTGCTCTGTGATGATTCTTTTCCCCTCTGGAAGACACCCAGTCACATCCTCACCAATGCATGCCACTGATCACAATGTCAGAACCGGGCAGGGTTGCAGCTGGGAAAGTCTCTGTCTCCAGATAGGGAACTGAAGCTAAGAGGATCTCCATGGTGACTTCCCTTTTGAATTCCAACATCAGTTGATGGGTTCTCTTCCTTTCCAGAATATGTCCCTGGCCCTTTAATTTCTGCTGGGACCAAAGATCATATTTAACAAGACAAACTTCTCAGGCTCAGAACTTCCACGGATGTTGCCACCTAGAGACTGGCCATGTTATTTAGGATTTTGCATGACTGCATGTTGAGAGCTGCCAGATGACTGGCCTGGCCCAGGGTAACACCTTTGGCCTATATCGTGAAAGGCCTCTACAATTATCAATTAAAATTAATATTTTTAAAGGTAGATCAAGGCCATTGTGTTATATATCAAAGCATCATCTTTTTTTTTTTCTTAAGTACTATGAGTCATTTATCATCCTTTCCAGGGCTCCTGATATTCTGTAGTTTGATCAAGAGGCTGAGCGGGGCAGGAGGGATCACTGTCTTGGGAACTGGCTCAGGACCTAACCCTTCCACTGACTTCTGGCTGATGAGGGCCAAGACCTTTACCCCTCTGAACCTCAGCTCCTGCATAATGAATGCTTGCCACACCCTTTGCATCTCATGTGATAGAACTCGATGGTGCCCTGCCCCTACTTAGGTGGAAAAACTTTCTATTGAGGTTACAATGGCTAGGCCTTTTCACTGTGCTGTTCAACAGACTCATGGATGCATTCCAGAAGCTATCTCATAATCAGACTTTAAAGAGGAGAGCTTTTACACGCCCCAGGGTCAGAACTCCATAATTAGTCTAATCAAAAGGGAACATCCTGGAAAGAGGATCTGATAGACAAAAGATGGCCAATAGTCACTTTCATTCATCTCACAATGTTATTAAATACCTATTGTATGATGGGCATTGCTGCAAAGAAGAAGAGATAAGAGAGAAGTCAAGATCCAAAAGATGAATTAGATTTATACAACAAATGTAGTAAGGGTTGCTAAAGCAGGAACCAGACCAAAGGAACATGGCAGGTCTTTCAGTAAAGCATTTGTATTACATCATAGAAGAGAAGGGCTCTTAATTACAGCTACCATCGTCTATACACTCTCAGGACATTCCCAATCACAAAAATCAGGTAGGTTTGTCAGTTGTATATATAATTGATCATTCAGTAAAGTTTTCATTTATGGAATTAAGAAATCTAAAAACTGACTCACTTGACATGCGTTAGGGATGCAGGTTTGGGGACCTTGCTCTCCCTCACTCTCAGCCACCAGAAGCCAAGGAAGATTTCAAGAGGTTTGTTGTGATTTGCCAACCCCCACAAGTGCGGATGAACAAGACAATGATTGGATAGCAGAAGACACAGCAAATGCTCTGTTTTCTGGACAGCCGGTTGGGCAGTAGTAGATCATGAGTCAAAACCAGTGGCTCTTCCCCTGACCCTGGGAGCATATGTCTCCACTACACAGCTCTCCAGCACCTAAATCCACAGACTCAGTGAAGAGGCCACATGAGCGTACCAGTTCAGGTATTTATGTAAGATAGCTGGACACATCTGAGGCCTGGCTTGTTTTTCCAATGTTATGTGGAAAACTTAAATGCACCCAATCATACTATCTTATGAAGCAGATATTATTTTCTTTTTAAAGATTTATTTTTATTGCTAAGTCAGATATACAGAGAGGAAGAGAGACAGAGAGGAAGATGTTCCATCCTTTGATTCAATCCCTAAGCAGCTGCAATGGCTGGAGCTGAACAAATTTGAAGCCAGAAGCCCAGAGCTTCTTGCAGGTCTCCCATGTGGGTGCAGGGACCCAAGGCTCTGGGCCATCCTTGACTAATTTCCCAGGCTGCAGGCAGGGAGCTGAATGGGAAGCTGGGCTCCCGGGATTAGAACCAGTGCCCATATGGGATCCCAGTGCATGCAAGGCTAAGCAACTAGGCTACCATGCCAGGCCCAAGATATTGTTTTCAAAGCTATTCTTATTATATATTTTGCCTGATGCTTTCAGTTGAATTGTGTACCCCCAAAAAACCAATGCGTGTATTATGGTTTTCATAGTTTCTCCCCCAAGGAATCAGGTATGGGAGACAACCACGTAGGTATGCAGGACAACCATGTAGAGGTGGAGGAACCTTCAGACAGCAGAGGCCAGTAGAGGGTACAACATAGTTCCCACAGAACCCCAGCCAATTCTCAGGGAGTCCGATCTCCTGAATCATTCTGGTTTCTGTCCTGAGATGTGATTTCCTCCTTCCACGTGGACTCTCTCATGTACTTTGCACCTCAAGGACCTTGCCAGAGCTAAGCTGATGAACCCCTGAACTTCCAAAACTGCAGCTGCCACCTACAGACTTACCCAGTCTCAGATATTTACTATGGTAATCAAAGCAGCTCTACCACCAAAACTTTGAGTGTGACTTTATTTGGACAAGGGTCTTAACAGACGTAATCAAATTCAAATTAGGTCATGTTGAGTTCATGTGGATCCTAAGCCAATGACTTGCACTGCAGGCCTCACCCCCTGGAGATTGGATAATGAGTTCTGCCCAGCCCAAGGTTTTGGACTTCCAGCCTCCAGAAATATAAGAGAATAAGTTTCTGTTATCATAGGCCACCTAGTTTGTGCTAATCTACCACAGAAGTCCTATGAATCTGATACATCCTCTATTTTTTCCCCATTCAGGACGTAGCTTCCCAAATTATACTGAGAGCCATTGAGAAGTGACGCAATGTACTCATATACATCTTGCTGTATAGGGCTTTCAGGAACATATCTAATGCAAAATACAAGATTGTCTCTCCAACTTTTCAAAGATCCAGTTGCAAAGTTGAAGTAGGAATTGGATTTCTAGGAGGACAAAGCTGCAAAGTGCAAGGCAGATGAACAGCCAGAACCACCTTCTCAGTCTCCACCACAGGAAATAGCGCTCGCATCTCTCCAGCCAGAAATGTGAAGATCCCTCAAGCTGAAGAGAAATACAAGATGAAGAATGCATTGATAACTGCAACCTATAGGTTTTTTAAAAAATGCCTCTACCAAAAGCATTCCCCTCAAAAAGAACACTCAGTCAGCCCAGGTTAGGTGCAGGTAGAGCCCCAACGTGCTAAAGCATTGGCCTTAAAGCAAAAGTCGAAACATTTTCCTGAATTCTGAGCATGCAAAAATAAGGCAGATGCTCAATCCGCAAAGCAGAACATAGGATTAAGTTGTTTATAAATTAAAAAGGCAACTGTACGAGTTCAGGCATTGACAAAGTAGGTTATCTGAATCACTTTGTTGAAAATATTGAATATACTGGATAAACACCAGAAAACAGTAAATGTAGACTGGGAAGATATGAGTTGGTAAAGGTTCCGTAGGTTTACTGTTTACTCAGAATCAAGGGGAAGATGACTAATACTGTTAGAACTGGGCAAGTTAAGAATGAATTAGCAAAGTTGCCCCAAACAAAGCAAATCAGAGTACATAATTTCCAAAGACAGGGAGACGATATACTAGCAAAAACAGTGAAGTAAGAAAGGAGATAATAGCTAAGTAAAGAACAAGAGGACGATTAGAAAAAATAGAGTAATGTAATGCATTTGAACAGTAAGGGCATGCTCTGGCTGGGTTGGAGTTCCCACTGGTGAGTGCAAGCGCCAGAGTGTGGGCTGCTATCTGGTCTGGACATGGCTGCACAAGAGCACAATAGGTCTGGGGTACGCCAGACTGAGCTAGATTCTTAGACCCACTGGTGATCATGAGAACCGGGGAAGGTATAAGATGGGACTAGGCTAGGTCTCTGACCCTGCTGAGCCATGTGCAAGCTGTGACTGGGTGTGCACCAGGTTTGGCTAGGCTGTAACACCCAGCAGTAAAAGCCAGAATGGTTTAAAGGCCAGTCAGGAAAGGCTATACTGTTCCTGCTACGACAGGAGGTTAACTAAGTAGGGCTGGCCCATGGACCCACCAATGTGTAGGAGATCTGACATTGGCAGAGGTTCTGATGGAGGAGCTTTGTTAGGACACAATGCCTGCACATGAGCACAAGAACTATGGTAGGGAGCAGCCAAGACCAGACCAGATAATGATATCTAACTGCATACATTTGGCACAGGCTGGGCCAGTTCACATCATGAGCTGGCAAATCTGAGTGCCAGAATGGAGTGTGGGTCAGGTCAGGTTGGGTCCCACTACATGCCAGTTCACGTGAGGGCCAGGACTGGGAATCAGCTGGGCTGAGCTAGGCTGTATCCACCACGAGTGTTAGCTGAATTGGGGGCAGGCCATGCCAGGCTGAGGGGTTGGGAGGATGGGGCAAAGCTGGTAAGGAGACTGAGTGAGGTTCCCCTGTTGGATCACCTCTCCCATTGGAGAGAGCGTGAGTTGGGATGGGAGCAGACCAGACCAGGCAGGGCTACAACACCTGTGGGTCTTATGTGAGCTAGATCAGGGAAAAGCCAGGCTGGGCTGATTGTTCCTACTGGCGCAAACATAAATCAGAATGGGTGAGGGGTGGTTGGGCTTTGCTATGGCATCAGCTGGCAGATACTGGCACTGGGGACAGATATTTTCAAGTTAAACTGCAGAACCACCTGGAGAGCGCATGATGTGGGAGTATATTTTTATACATGGAGTGTATATGTCAGAGCTGGGCCTCCTCGGTGGACAACATATCTAGATGCACATGGAGACTATGGCATACACTGGAGCCTAAAGAGGACACGTGGTACTACAACAGAGGACAGAACACAGAACAAATTGATCAACTACACCAGCCAAGTGTTAGCAGGGAAAATCCGGGCAAATGGAGACTTTAAGGTGGACTGTGTCAACCAGTGGATTCTGGAGAGATTTCATTGTGCTTGGAGTGGCGAGATTGGCA